GCTGTCCTATGAGATCTCGCCCACGGAATTGCTCAAACTGGATCTAAACGCGGCAAAAAGGTGTATAAATCAAAGGCTGGATGATGTGGAGCTATACCAAAATTTCTTAGCTGGTGGTGGAGCCTGCTCCCCGTTAAATCTCGGCATAACCCCTATCTATCGTGCTCCGTCCTACTTAACATCGCTTATAGCCGCATCTCACCGATATGCCTTCATTAGAGCCAGGTTCAATGTTTTCCCAACAAACGTGCTGAGACATAGATTCACTAAGGGCCAAGTCCCTTCAATGTGTGCTTGTGAAATGAAAACATCTGAATCTTTACATCATGTTATGTTTATCTGCCCTATGTACAGTTTAGCTCGCGCTAGTATACTAAACTCCATAATCCAGCCTATCGCTGACAAACCAGTAGACCTACAGCTTGCCTGGGTTCTTCAAGATGTAGATCCTTATATTACTCTACAGGTTGCTAAATTCCTAACAGCCGTTCTCTCGTACAAGAGACGGAATGGAATGTTAACTGATTATTGATACTTATAAGAATTTTTGATATTGACATCAGAAATTGATTTAGCGTAGTGCCCAAATTTTTAACTTTAATCTTAAATTTCTGTTTTGATTTGCCAATATTTGTCCTTGTGAGCTGTGAATTGTGTTATATTACTTGTGGCTTGTTCGAGACCGCTGTTTTATTTGATTTGTTTTGTGTGTTGTGCTTTATGATGGGCGTAAAGCCGAATAAACATTTTGGTTGATTTTGGTATTCCATATTTAAACTTCAGGGGAAAGTCTGCCATTTTGTAGCTAAACTGGCGATAGCCATGCACAAGGGAGAGGAACTGGCATCCTCAAAAAGAAAACCCTAATGCAAGGAATTTCCTCCTTTACTGCAACCTCACCAGTCCCAATATAAGATGTTGGGGACTGAACTTTGCACCTTCAGCATGCAATGCAGATATGAGACATAGGGAGATAAAAAGGATACAGAAATAGCCATCTCATTGTCTCAATAGGTTGTTTCCAGGTTTGCACTGAGAAGTTATTTTAAATTTCTCCTGGAATAGAAACGTGAAGACTTGTATAGATATAGAAATCAATAGAAAAATCCAAGACTTTAAAGTAGCTTAGTACTCTACACCTACCCACAATAAACAAACAAACCAAGAGGTAACAACAGTGCTTTTTTTCTTTTCTAAAAAAATGTTTAGGGGTACTCTCATTTTCCTACTCATATTGAAATACTACCCCTCAATGAGGCCAAACTTAGATTCATAAAATGTTTAGGGATATGTGTCCCCCCCCCAGAAAAAAGCACTGAGTAACAGCAAATTAATGAATTCTTCTTCTTTCATAGTCAGTTCTTGTTTAGTGTGAAACATTTTAGAACATATATACACACACAAAACCCACCACCAAACATATTGGCACAAATTTCACAACAATGAAGTTCATTCTTCACATTATGCATTGGAATTGCCTGTGGTTCTGAGTGAGAGCCCTGCTTTGTGGTTCACACTGAATGCTGCAGGTCAGGCTCTGAGTGGTTTATGACCAGCCTGCAGTGTTGTCAAGCAGCACTGGAAGTTCAACAGAAGCTGAAAAACTACAATAGTGCAATTGTATGTTTTGATTTTACCCCACACCCCAATTGCCGGTTGGGCTGAGAGAGCAATATACAACAACCCGGCAGTGGAGTTCACTCTTACATACCTATTGCAGTTTGAATAACTGTGCTGAGAGCCAGCAGCTTACAACTGCCCTGCAATATCAGGCAGTTGGCTGCATGCATTTCATGCTTTCTGGTGACACCTTTAAAAGTTCAAAAAGTAAAAAATAAAATTGGCTCATGAAGTAAGACCCAAGTTAGAGGAGGAACTTCTATCTTTGCTATTAATTTGTGTTCTATCAACCCCAATAGTCAGAAGCTCAGGTAGGAAAAAAACAGCACCTATCACACCAGGGGTTCATCGTTCCATGTTGTTGTTGGGGCCCACTTGTAATAAATAATAATTTCTGGGGAAAGTAAACACTCCTCCTGGCATATCTTTTAAACATAGCCTAAACCAACCATGTATATGGCTTTGAAACTGAAATTTGTGGGACTTTAGGATTCTATGACAGAAATGAGGAACACCAATAGATTCAAGATGAGTCAGAACAGTTTATTAAAAGAGAATGTAGCCATGATAATAATAGCTTTTAAAAAGGTTTAATTATAAACATAAGGTAAAGGGGCCCCTGACCATTAGGTCCAGTCGTGGCCGACTCTGGGGTTGCGGCACTCATCTCGCTTTATTGGCCGAGGGAGCCGGCATACAGCTTCCGGGTCATGTGGCCAGCATGGCTAAGCTGCTTCTGGTGAACCAGAGCAGCGCATGGAAACGCCATTTACCTTCCCACCGGAGCGGTACCTATTTATCTACTTGCACTTTGACATGCTTTCGAACTGCTCGGTTGACAGGAGCAGGGACCGAGCAACAGGAGCTCACCCTGTTGCGGGGATTCGAACTGCCAACCTTCTGATTGGCAAGTCCTAGGCTCTGTGGTTTAACCCACAGCGCCATCCGCGTCCCTTCAAATTATAAACATACAAAGACCAAAAATGACATATTCCATATTCCACTCTAATATTCATCAAATGTATAATTTATTTCTAAATCATCAAGCTTTAAATGCGTAACTTTAATGCAATGTATTAAAATACAAATATATCCTCTAATATATATATATATATTTAATATTGTTTGTATACCATAAATTATTCATCATAAAAGTAATGAAAAGGTTTTTAATTATACTAGTTGATGTTCTTGTTTCATATATTTAATAATGGGAGATGATAAGGTTCTCAAATTGTTCTTTGTTTACCTTTCCTTAAGTGTACCATTTCTGTTAATTTGCTCATCGTGGCAAGATATCAAACTGCATTAAACCATTCTTGTTGTATTGGGACTATTGGAACACTCCATTTAGATGCTCTGAAATCGTTTTCATTTTTTTTGCTTTGCTTTTGGTAGCAGTTAATAGAACCCCAAAATAAATTTCATTGTTCTGATGCCACATTTTTTAAAGTTATCCTAGAAGAATATCATATGTATGTAGTATTCAACCATTTCTCAATGATCGGTTCTGAAAAATTCTAAAACTTCTCACGTGTCCATCAAATGTCAGTTTTAAACATTTCTTTCCAATAAAACTGAACATTGTTCATTGTCTAATTTTAAATTGTATCATAAACTTGAGCAAACTGGACTTTCTACTAGATTTAGGCCAATGTCCCTCTAATTGTTCAAAGTATCCAGTTGCCTCATGTCTGGTTTATGTTCTTTCTAAAGCACAGTTTGCACAAATAAAAGTAAGAAAGCTATACAGTAGCATTTAAAAATCATGTCTAAAATAATTAAACGATACTGAATTACTCTTGAGCTAAGAATTAATTGAAATCGTTTCCATTTCTTGTTTTGTTTTTAATCTTAAGTAATTCACCGGAGTATGCATGATATGATTAAACCTCACCTGGCAATCATAGGCATCCATTAATAGCTTTCCTTCATTGATTGAAACATATTAATTAAGAAAAGGCCCTAACCAGGAGCTCCTTCCCTGATCTATATGCACAGTTTAATAATAATCATACTGTGTGATTAGAATGATTATGGGGGACACTGTGAAAAATTCATTTGCCGCGAATAAGCCAACAACTTTGCATCTGTGTTGAGAAACAATTATAGACCTTAATTGGGAGCCCATGTAATGATGACAGCAGTTATTTCAGTGATTGATTCTGAAATTAAAGTGAGCTGGCAAATTAAACACCAGTACATCCAGAGCTAGAAAACTGAGAACAAGTTTTGGGTCCAGGGCATGGTAATTGCACATATATTGAAATAAATGGGGAGAGGAGTCAAAATGATCAGCAACTGCAGCCAAATATTACAGTACAGTGGTACCTCTGGTTACGAACTTAGAATCATAGAATCATAGAATCATAGAATCATAGAGTTGGAAGAGACCACAAGGGCCATCGAGTCCAACCCCCTGCCAAGCAGGAAACACCATCAGAGCACTCCTGACATATGGTTATCAAGCCTCTGCTTAAAGACCTCCAAAGAAGGAGACTCCACCACACTCCTTGGCAGCAAATTCCACTGTCGAACAGCTCTTACTGTCAGGAAGTTCTTCCTAATGTTTAGGTGGAATCTTCTTTCTTGTAGTTTGGATCCATTGCTCCGTGTCCGCTTCTCTGGAGCAGCAGAAAACAACCTTTCTCCCTCCTCTATGTGACATCCTTTTATATATTTGAACATGGCTATCATATCACCCCTTAACCTCCTCTTCTCCTGGCTAAACATGCCCAGCTCCCTTAGCCGTTCCTCATAAGGCATCATTTCCAGGCCTTTGACCATTTTGATTGCCCTCCTCTGGACACGTTCCAGTTTGTCAGTGTCCTTCTTGAACTGTGGTGCCCAGAACTGGACACAGTACTCCAGGTGAGGTCTGACCAGAGCAGAATACTTAATTCATTCTGGAGGTCTGTTCTTAACCTGAAACCATTCTTAACCTGAGGTACCACTTTAGCTAATGGGGGCCTCCCACTGCCGCCACCGCACAATTTCTGTTCTCATCTTGAGGTAGATTTCTTAACCCGAGGCACTACTTCCGGGTTAGCGCCGTCTGTAACCTGAAGTGTTTGTAACCTGAAGTGTTTGTAACCCGAGGTACCACTGTACTAATGTGCTGTAGATACCTTATGACTGCTTGATGCTCCAACATTCGTAAATCAGTAGGGGTTTCCAGTTTCACAGTAGACTAGAGAGTGGTGGTTTTTATGAGGTCAAATATCCCAGCAATTTTGTACTCGCTGTTGACCAGCTCAGACCATTTCCTTCATGAGTGATGTTTATAGACAACAATGCATTCTAAGCTACAAAAGTGGTGAGGAGCAAACATTTAATTCAGGTTTGTTTCTAGTGGAATAAATCCAGGTAAAACAGAAGTGATGGCGGAACTAATACAACCAGGCTACAGACATTCATTGACATTCCAAGGTTTCAGGAGGGGAATTCGGAAAGACTTATTTAGTGTACCTCTTCTCGTCTCTTTTTTTTTGCCACTGACAGAAAAGGAGAAACATCAGTGAGCTTCCTGCTGTAGTGGGGGCCTCTCAGCAGGTGGCCAACCATGCCCAATCCTAATACCGCTCCAGCCTGCAATAGAGCAGGGCTCCAGTTACATGGAAGAGCTGGAGGAGGGATCTGATTTCCCTTACATTTTGTGACAGGTCATTTAGCTACCAATACTAGAAGGCTACAGTTCTGTGTGCCTGTGAGAGTTGGTTGAGATGGGGAAGAATTTGTGTGGTTATCATTAATGGTCTATAGAAGCTGGGGATGTGCCTATTCCTGGACCCTTTTTAATTATGTGTGGCCCTAATCTCTGTCTTGTATAGTGTGACAGTGGATGATGATACTAGCAGGGAGGACAGGTAGCAAGGAGTTGTGAAGATGATGCCTCAGTTTCAGAGGTGATAGGCAGAGGAACTTATACTTGGAGTGGAGTTGCTGACCTCCATCTGGGGCACAGACCTAGATATTTGATCCATATCCCCTTTTCAGCCCTCCTACTGTCCCAGAAGTTTCTGGTATCTTACCTGTGGATCCCTTTGGTTTGGTGTTATTGAATGTCAGGTCAGTCCATAATGAGATCATTCTCATCCATGACTTGGTTGTGGATGAAGGGGCTGACCTGATGTGTATTACCAAGACTTAGGTGGGTAAACTGGGTGTCCATCAGCTGTGTCCATCTGGGTACTCTGTGCAGCACCAGACTAGAACAGGGAGTCAAGTGTGGTGGGGTGTTGCTATTGTCCATAGAAGCACTATTTCTTCTACCAGAAAAGCTTTTGATATTGGGCTGGGTTTAGCAGATCTGCACTTGATGTTGGACCAGATTAAGGAAACAGTTGTTCTATCAACCACTCTGTGGCTCAGCAGAGCACTCTGTTGCTGACCGAGCTAGCTGAGGTGGTCTCTGGTATAGTGTTGGAAGACCCCAGGATGATCAGAAATAATAATACCCAGGTCAGAAGCTACACTGGCCATGCATAGTTGTTTGGAGGATTGTGTCTGTGAATGTCAGCGGTGCCAGGAATGTGATTTTACATAAGTGATGAGAATTCTGTTTTGCTACAACAAATGGTTAATCCACAGGACATTTTTGTTCTTGTGGAAAATATGATTATCTATGAAACACAATTTATTTTGGCATTTGTAAATAGCTGTGATATGTTGCAGACACGATTCATTTTCTCTTTAACGGGCTAACAGAGACAAATCATGTTTTAAAATAACAGTGTTATCATTATTACATTATCAATCTCAAACTAGTGGTATAAAAACATTCCTTTTCTGCTTTCTTCTTGCCCTTTGAAGTATAATTTGTTCTGATTTATATCTCTGAAATCATTGCTATAAGCAAATTTATTACATCACTGGCAAAGACTGTAAAATATTTCTAGGTACCTTTTATAATAAGGAAAGGATGTAGTTGTGTCATCCTCCTATTGCATTTGAATGTATAACTTCGTATGTATGAATAAGTTATAATTATTTTTTGTAGACATTTGGATGCTTGCCTAGGATACACCATTAAATAGAGAGGATTTTTCAAACAGTAAAATTTACAGGGGAATTTACAAGATGGATATAAAAACCAGTCTGCTGTGAAATATGGTATGATATTCTAATATTTTAACCATGGTTTTATTGTTGCAGGTAAGCTACAGCACACTATTTAAAAAAGAAACCTGAATAGCCTCCGTAAATTATAAGTATAATTTGATTTTTTTCCCTCAAAGGTGGAAGCAAAATGGCACAGATATTGATCTCACCATGAGTTATCACTACAGGCTGCTTGGAGGCAGCTTGGCAATCAATAACCCACATAAAAAACAGGATATTGGAACATACCAGTGTTTGGTCACAAATTCGTTTGGAACAATTCTGAGCAGGAAAGCAAAACTCCAGTTTGCATGTAAGTTGCATGGATATTTTATTTCCTCATCAATTTTATTTTTGAAAACAATGTATTAGGCAATTAAAACATCAATGAAATTTGCTATGAAATGATTGAACTTGCTCATCTTTCCCTTTTCATGCTGAATTCCAATATCTTTCCCCAGTAAACAGCAATAATGAGACAGATATACTGGTCCTTGCAACACACAACAATTATCTACAATCGAGGGAAAGGTCAAGAAAGATGAAAACAATTAGGTTTTGCTTAATAGAGCTGTTGCTATTCCCTCACCCCACCCTCACCCCCTGGGATGCCTTTTTTCATGGTCCGATTGCTATTTGTAAGATACCTGCTCCTCACCCCTCTCTAGGTTGGAAAATGAAGTAATCACAAAAGTATAATGATGTCCAGCAGAGTCACAGAAATGTCACACATGGTAATTACCTTACTGACATTTAGTTGCATTAACAGGAATATACACCTCCGCACATTTGCTTTGTAATTGGCATGCCATTGTTGCTTGCACCTAAAATATGTAGCTGTCCTTTAAGCACAGGTGTATGTGTGCCCACGCATAGTGAAAGCAATAATAAAATCCAGTAGACCACACTCACGCACGCACACAAATACAGAGGGAGATGGAAAAGGTAGAAGAAATTTATGCAGCCACATTCTTCCCTACACCAGAGAAGTATAAGCATATCTCGGTATAAGTATAAGCCAGGGAAGTCAAATAGTGCTACTGCAGACACTGGGTCCTGAGTTTCCGTTCCATGAACAGAACAAGGCACTGTTCACGAAAGGAGAGATTTGCTCATGGACGAACCTGTTCTACTTAGAGGACACGTCAGTGTGTGGAGCTCTTCCTTGAATAGAAGGCTGTTGTGTTCAGGGAGGGGGGGAAACATCCGATCCAAGCCATCGGCAGCAATCCAGCCAGACAGCCTCATCTATCAAATTGGGCACTCCCCCCACTGTGGAAGCTTGAGACTGCAATTCTAAACACATTCAGAAAGGTGAAAGCCCCACTGAACTCGGTGGCTTATGAGAAAACAACACATGGGACCGATCCGTTAGGGTTCTCCGCCGCGTACAGCTCTAGATCACAGCCTTTGCCTTTTTATTCTTGCATCTCTTGTGAGAGCAGCTCTTCTTCAAAAAGCAGCTTGGAGAAAGTTGCACGTCCCCTACCCCCACCCCGCCGCCACCTCCCTGCCATCCTCCTTTCGTCGTCCTCCATCTGGGCTGGCTGCCGCAGTAAGAGAGCAATTGTTTTTAATGCTCATTAATAAAATATACTTCGAAAGGCAGCCTCGTGGAGCTGTTTCAGACATCGGTGCTGGTATTAATTATTAATCCTTTTCTGTTCCTATTACAAATTGCCTGTCACAGAGGTCATAGAAAGGAGGCTGTAGAAACGGTGATGGTTCACAGACTTGTGCATGTGTGCAAGGTGGTCATTCCTGTCTGTTTCTGCCATGGTCTTAAGTCATTTTTCTTCTGACTGTTCAAAGGTAAAAGCAAACTGACTAACGGAAATGGCTATCAAAGTAGGACTGGAACCATCAGGACATGAAGTGCTTGGCGAACAGTCTGCTTTAATGCTCTCTGTGGAACCAGCACAGAATGAACTTCTCTACCCCCGATTCTGTGTTATCCCTTGTAGGGAAACGTACTGTCATAATTCACACTATGACTCGTGTTGCTCAGCATTATGGCTCGTTTGTGGAAAGCTGGTCAGGGGGATGTCAATTCCTGTGGAGACTATAATGTGTAGCCCACTTCAAAGTATTCAAGTGGTGATAAATTTGTATTCAGGCGCTTACTTGAGAGTGAGCGTATTTATATGTGGTTGGTGGTAGTGGTGGTTTCAGATATCCTGGGTTAGGAAGCAGGCTTCTTTTTAAACATGAGCCACGAGAAAAAGGAAAAAGCTCAAGCTGGCAAGAAGCTGAAAGGTTTCTTATTACGAAAGAGATTTATATGCATTTTATCAATGCATTTTGAGGAATCCTTGGGTTTGTTTTGACATATGCAATATGAGACTGAATGACTTAGTCCAAATGGGAGTCCACAATGCGTTGTATCAGGGGAAACTCTTGCAGCAGCATGTACATGAGTCAAAACTGCATATAAAAATGTGTTTATTAGGAGAAATTTGCATGCTGGTGATTTTTTTTTTGTTATTTTTTTTTAAAAAAACACACACTAGACAAACATGATTTTCTGCAAAATGTGAAGAACTGAATTTAAGATTGGAAAAATGAGAAACCTAGAGAACCAAAATTGTCAGATCTTCCCATCCCTTCTCCTAGACAGAGGGTCTTTTCTGTAGCAGTACCCCAGTTGTAGATCTGTAATCTTGGAGACATTTAGCTGGCATATTTATTACTTTTAAAAATTATTATTATTATTATTATTATTATTATTATTATTATTATTATTTTATTGTTATTGTTATTATTAAACTTATACCCTGCCCATATTACTGGATTGCCCCAGCCACTTTTTGCAGCTTTCTAAAATCTTTTAAAGGTAATCAATATTGCCCCATCATAAAACTTAAACCCAAACCAAACCAAACCTGGTACTTCTATTGCTTACCTGCACTGGTTTGCTTTCAGTTCATTTATTTGTAATTATTTATTTTACTTATTTAATACATTTATATCCTGCCTTATATCCTGAGAGCCAGTGTAGTGTAGTGGTTAAGAGCAGTAGTCTCGTAATCTGGGGAACCAGGTTCATGTCTCCGCTCCTCCACATGCAGCTGCTGGGTGACCTTGGGCCAGTCACACTTCCTTGAAGTCTCTCAGCCCCACTCACCTCACAGAGGGTTTGTTGTGGGCGAGGAAGGGAAAGGAGAATGTTAGCCGCTTTGAGACTCCTTAAAGGGAGTGAAAGGCAGGATATCAAATCCAAACTCTTCTTCTTTCTCCCAAGTCAGAATTCAAGGCAACTTCCAACATTTAAAAGCATCAATTATAGAATACAGAAGAATAAAAATAAACTAGTTATAAGCAATAATTAAAACAACAACATCACAACTTAGTTGAAACCAGCAATTAAAATACAATTTGTCCTGACAGCATCATCTGCGCCTATGTTTCCAAAGCCTCTCTGAACAGGAAGTTCATTGCCTGCTGTCAGAAAGAAAACAAAGAGGGAGCCATTTTAACCACTCTGCTCATTCATTCTTGGTACTGCCATGTTGCTTTAAGGGCTCTTACAGAGCCATGGTGATAGGGGTAATTATATATACTCTGAATATGGCTTATTTGGTTATAACCCATACATTCCATGAGCAAAAAGCTTATCCACTTTTGTGGATCTAGGTTCCGTCTTGAGCTAGTATGGGGAGGACAGAAGTGGCACATAAATAGAGAGGATCAATTACAAGCAAAGGAAAAACAAAAATTTATGCAGCTCTTTGTCTGTCTGTCTGTCTCTGATGAGGAAATAAGCCTTGGACTCATTGTGCAAATTTACTGTTTGTACCAGACAACATTCAATTATCTGCAGTTTGGTCCCCTCAGTTAAGGAAAGCCAAGGCGATCATCCATGAATCCCTCATGTACTGTAGGCTTTAACCCAATGGACTAGAATGAACTGATATTAGTTTAGATAAAAGGCACAGAAGGAAGGACTTACTGATGTTTTTTGAATCATAAGAAGCCTGGTAAAAGTATAGCTTGGAGCTAATTTCAAGTACTAGTTCCTAAACTGTTGGTTAGCAGAAGCCAGGATCACAGTAACTGTCCCCTGCAGTGCAATAATGTTCAAATGCCATATAAATATATGGGCACATTGATCCCTTGCGCTGGATTAAATGATATCATCTGTGGCAGAGTCTAAGCTTTCTTAATAATCTTTATGGTCACAAGATCAAGAGAATTTATAGATGACAACTGTAGACGTTCTGCAACTAGATGTAAACTGCACCATTCAGAGCAAAATCTTCGGGTCTGCATATCTAAGAAGCTTGAGTTCTTGAAGACAGAACAACATTTCTGATGTCACATTTCCCAATTGTGTCTTGTAGCAGTGTAATTAAAAATTGTTATGTCTGCCTGAACTTCAACTTGTACATTCATCATCATGTTTGAGGGATTTGTTATTTAATATTAATTTTATTTTTTTCTGTATTGTCATAAAATAGAACCACCAGAGAGCTATTTTTAAATGATACTTTAAAATAGTAAAATAATTATAATGACAGTAGTAATAATAATATTAGCATATAAGGTAAAGGTAAAGAATCCCTGGATTCAAAAGCAACTATGGGGTGCGATGCTCATCTTGCTTTTCAGGCCAAGGGAGCCAGCGTTTGTCCACAGACAGTTTTCTGGGTTATGTGGCCAGCATGACTAAACCACCTCTGGCACAATGGAACACCGGGACAGAAACCAGAGCACACGGAAACGCCATTTACCATATACCTTGGTACTCAGACGGCTTGGCTCCTGAACAAATTGGCCTCTGAACACCACAAACCCAGAAGTGAGTGTTCCTGTTTGTGAACATTTTTTGGAAGCTGAACATCCGATGCGGCTTCTGATTGAGTGCAGGAAGCTCCTGCAGCCAATTGGAAGCTGTGTATTGGTTTTCGAATGGTTTCGGGAGTCGAATGGACTCCTGGAACGGATTAAGTTTGACAGCCAAGGTACCACTGTACTATATTATATTTAGCATACACAGTGGTACCTCGGGTTACATACGCTTCAGATTACATACGCTTCAGGTTACAAACTCCGCTAACCCAGAAATAGTACCTTGGGTTAAGAACTTTGCTTCAGGATGAGAACAGAAATCGTTCTCCGGTGGCGCGGGAGGCCCCATTAACTAAAGTGGTGCTTCAGGTTAAGAACAGTTTCAGGTTAATAACGGACCTCTGGAACGAATTAAGTACGTAACCAGCGGTACCACTGTACTATATTAATGGTCTAATAAGAGTTCAGCCTTACTATCAGCCTGACGACGACCAACATTTTGGGTCAGAACATCACCTGCACTCCACATGTTAGCAATGCTCACCACATGCTTGAGGTGGTAGACGATTTTGTTGGCCTGAGTTCCACCATAACCAGCAATCTTTCCATCCCTGCTGAACTTGACAAGCATATTGGCAAGGCAGCTAAGGCAATGGCTCGTCTCTCCAAAAGGGGATGGGAGAATGTGATGCTAACATTCAATACCAAGATGAAGGTCTACCAGGATTGTGTGTTGAGCACGCTGCTTTATGGAAGTGAGTTGTGGGCAACTTACAACCTGCAGGAGCGATGCCTGCCCAAAACTCACTTCCATAAAGCAGCATGTTCACGTCCTTGGGAATTCTGTCCACATGTGCTGCATCAGGAAGATTTTGGGTATCAAATGGCAAAGATGTGTTCTCCCAAGCCCACATACCCAGCATGTTTGCACTTCTGTCTTAGGATTTCCAAGGATGTGCTCTACAGGGAGCTGACTTCAGGCACCAGGCCCATTGGCAGACCAGCTTCAGATCCTTTCACAGTCCTTTACAAGTGGTGTTATGTGGGAAGCTACTTTATGCTGAATCAGACAACTCATCCATGTATCTCAGTATTGATTACAGTGACTTGCAGTGTTTAGGATCTTTCAGTCAGGGGACATTTTCAACCCTACCTGGAGATGCCAGGAACTGAGCCTCAGACCTTCTGCATTCAATGCAGATGCCCTACCACTAAAGCAGATGCCATGCCACTATGTGGTACTGGCAGTATGCCTCCTTCAGTGAAAGCTGCTGTGTTCTAATATCACTTCAAGCTTCCGAACACTCTTCAAGAATAGCTCTGTGTAAAGCTTACTTGTTACACAGTAAGCAAGTTTGAGACTGCAGAAATAAATGTGCAATATGATGACAGCGCAGCAGAGCATATGGCAAACTTTTCTAAACTTTGCGGAGGGAAGATTTTTTCAGTGTTATCCCAGTAGTGCATAAGACCTCCATTTCTGGTTTCAGCTAAATTCAGTCATAAGCAGTGCTATTCTTCTAGAAAAAGAGGTGCTGGAACTCACCATGAATGCCTCCCTTGTTCTTTTATAATGGCAATGGAGAGGTGCTGGAACTGTCTTAATGGCCCATTACCCAGGTGATCACCTCAACACAAGAACCTAGCCTGGTTTAACATTCTGGATCCAGGGGTTAGCGGCTGGGCAGAAGTATACAGCCTACACCACCAAACTCATAACAACACCATTAGAATACATAAAATATGCAAAAAGAAAATTGCACACATATAATAGCAGGGTGTCTTACTGTCAGCTGGCTACCAGAGTTCTATTGTCATCAAGAACTCTTCACACAAGATGGTTTCCTACATGGACATCACTTTGATACAGCAAAACTGTTTTGTGTGAAATGGCCTTTAGTGCTGAAACATCTAGAAACCCAGCTTCAGGTCAGCTGCAATCTGGATTGAAATAAACTAGGATTCCTGCACAGAAAACAGGCAACCTGAAGAATGAGCACCAAAACAAAGAGGCCTCCAGTGACCTCTTTGGAACATGGAAACAAGAGCATAGGAAACTGCCTTGCACTTTGAGCACTGATATCTCAAGCAGTATTGTCTACTGGGATGGCTCAGTTGGTAGAACCTGAGACTCTTAATCTCAGGGTCATAGGTTTGAATCCTACCTTGGGCAAAAGATTCCTGCAGTGAAAGGGAGTCAGACTAGATGACCCTCATGGTCTCTTCCAACTCTACAATTCTATGATTGGCAGCAGCTCTCCTAAATGGCTCAACACTAGATATGTTGGCATAGACATTGACCAAGGCAGAATGTATCAGGACTTGCATCATGCAATCTGAAGGAGAAGAAGAAAAAGGGGGTTCCAAGGAAGACAGAGGCACTAATTTGGTACAGTTGCAGGTTAAAGTATATGGATACATAGGTACATAGTTGTGTGAGTAATCCAAAACTCATATTAATGTGTAAAGTACTGAATTACTATGCATACCTAAAGCACAATAACTTTTTTTTATAGCAAAGGTGTTAGATAAAGCAATGTTGCAGATTTTACTCGCAGGTGTTTTTTGTTTCTTGTTAGCTTCTTTCCCTGACTACGACAGTGGCATTCTCCACAGGCATCTTGTATCTAGGGGCCTGCTGTTTTCAGTATTATCTCCTTGGTAATATAGGAAAATGGTATTAAATATAAATGTCACAGAGGAAACAAAAAGGCACCATTTAGATTCTGTATTCAAACTGTCAGAAATAGTAGCCATGCATTCTTGACGTCAACAATGCCAAGAAAATAGAAAGGGTCTGGGAATATTTGAACTCTAAAGTAGATCTCCCCCCCCCCCCCTTAGTCTGAAATGCAGTTGAGAGGCACAATCTTCATGAATATTAATTTGTTGTGCATAATGTAGGCCTATTATTATGAATGAAGCTTACATAACTCAAATTTAAATGGTGTTTTTAAACGCACAAAAATTCATTAGAATGCTAGGGAATGTTTTCATTATTGCACCACTTTTATGTAAAAGTAAGTCAATGTAAATAAATAGGTGTAAGGGAAATATCCTCATCAAGCTGAATATTAACAGGGGCATCGCAACTTCTTTTTCCACTGTCCTAAATAGCCAGACTATATGTAATTACACTGTTGTGGTTGTTGCCAATTAAAGATAGCTCAAGATTACAAAGGTTGCAAGCCTTCAAGCTAAATACAGACCACCAGCCATTTATAGTTGCCCACAGCAGCCTGGGGTGACAAAACCAGTACTGGCAGTACTGCTAAGTACTGGCAAACCAGACTGGTGGGTCACAAGTTGTGTTCATTTTTGGCACCTTTCATAAGCTTGCCTCCTGGGATGAGCACTGTATCCCATGATCACTTGCTTGTGGTAATGGTCTTTCACAACCGTGCGGTGACTTGATAGCTGAAGTTAATGTACAGTAAACATGCTTCTCCATACAGAGCCAAATCTGCACTTTGATGGGTACATAATGTTCATAAATGGGTCAGTTGTGCATTTATTTTAATGTCAAGAGTATATTGTATTTTCAAATTTCCTCCTCCATGGAAATCAAAGAACAGAAGGGCATCAGAGGCTCTGTAGTCACAAGACATTTGTATACTAGGTTGGTGGTGGAACACCCTCCCCAGTTAAGTTTTTCCCCTCCTTCCACTTATATTTTCTGCAGGCTCTGTTGTTCAGCTCTCTGTTTTTATATTGGGATATTTATTTGGGGGTTGTGACCAATACTAGCCCTACTCAGAGCAGACCCATTGAAATGAATGACTCAAAGCCAATCATTTTCATCATTTTTAATGGATGTACTCCTGTTCATGTTTTACTGCTTAAATGACTACAAGACTCCATATAGGCTGATCTGGATGAAAGGCAGGGTAAAGGTTTGTGGGATCCAATTCTATACTAACTTACTCTAGAGTAAGTTCAACTGAAATCAGTGGGACTTACTTTTAAGCAGACATACGTTTTGTCTGTTTTATAGATGGCTTAAAAAAACAACCAACAACCTAGCCTTCAGTCCTCAATTCAGACATATTTTTTTTTCATATGATAAGAAACAGAAGGAAAATAATGTTGAGGAACGGATGGAAGTGGGGAAGAGCGCAGGCATGAAACAAAAATACCACTCATAACTATTCATGGAGGGTAAGAACAGCAGACCAAATATTATTTAAAATAACCAATTTGTCTGGGATGTGAAATGAGGTTCCTTCTAATACATGCAAATCATTCTGTCTCAGGCTCCGTCACTAATCAGAGGAAGGGATGATGGTTCCTATTTAACTCAGTTCACTTCCATTGCCACGTGAAAGTCACTTGTCTGTCACCAACTGTGATTTTAGCTTGTTAATTTCAAGAGATATTGACAAGCGCTTTAATTCACATACAAGATTAATGGGCTGCATAGGGAAGCAATACCCCAGAGTCAGACAGCCCTTTCACACTTGTAAATTGTCCACATTGTAAAAAGCTTTCCCTCCTGTTGTAAACAGGGCTGGAGCTGTTAATAAAGGAGCTTTTGTTTGGCATCTCAGGGTGAGATTTCAATGGGCTAGCTTGCAGAGTAAGCAAAAACATTCCTCGCTGAGGGAGCTGCATTGAAGCCTGTTGCTAATTGCTCCTCAGGAAAGCCGATGAAGTTCCACAATAATTTCCCATCCTTTTGTCCAGGAATAAAGTGCAGTGCTGGCAAGCGTGCTTGAGGAAGCTTGGATCCATACCAAGGATCAGAAGCGCTGCAAGGAACCTGGGATGCCTGAGTGCCCTGACATATTCTTTGCGGTTTAGCCACGGCAGGTGTCTCTCAGAAACCATGTTGATAATGGTGGCTTATAGGGAAATGAGGCACTTTCTTCAGGACTTGACTTTCCATTCTGCAAATGGGGAAATGAACTGATTGTTAATGTTGAGCGATGAAGCACTGAGAATATTTTATTTCTTTATTTCCTGCCCTTTACCCAAATGTTCCAGGGCTGCATAGAAAACAGTTTAAAACAAGTTACAATCATAAAAATAAGATGGGTCCTAAAATATATACAGTCGTACCTTGGATCTCAAATGCCTTGGCTCCTGAACAAATCGGCTCCTGAACGGTCAAAACCCAGAATTCTGGTTTTCAAACTATTTTTGGAAGCCAAAAGTCCGCCTCGGCTTCCAATTGGCTGCAGGATGCTTCTGCAGCCAAATGGAAGTCACGCTTTGGTTTTGAATGGTTCTGGAAGTCGAACAAACTCCCAGAATGCATTCTGTTCAAGAACCAAGGTACAGCTGTATACCTCAAGTGTCTTCAACATACTCAGGAAGCTGTACAATGAAGTCGCCAGATGCACCTCTGTGGGGAAGGAGTTCCAAAGCTTTGGGGCCACCACAGAGAATGCTCTGTTCTGAGCCACCCACCCCTTGAGCCTCTGAGGGTGGAGGGACCACCACAAGGGTCCTACCTTTCCTCTGAAGAGGTCAAGGTGGCATACAAGCTTCCTGCTTCCCCATTCTACCCTAACAACATTCAGAAGCCATGGACATGGAGAATGGCCCAAGTAAACTTTATGGCTGATTGCTGATTTTAAACTTTGTCTCCCAGGTCCTAGTTCAACACTCTAACCACTCCATTGGCTCTCATTTGGGTGCCAGTGGGCCGAGATACTGAGTGATATTTATATTTATATTATATTATATTATATTATATTATATTATATTATATTATTATATTATATTTAGCCATAACCTTTGGAATTTTCTAGGCAACCAAAACTCCTGTCCTTGGGTCCAGTACACCTCCAAGTATCAGGCCTGGTTTTGTAGCAGAGCCACATGCAGCCTCCAAGCGTGTAGGAGTCCCAAGTCTCTCCCAGAGTGTAGAAATAAATCACAGGAAACTAGGGAGGTACTGAGCAGCATAATTCTGTTCCATTTCAGCTTCACTTTCCAGTCATTGGTCTGTTCTGTCCCATTTTTCATGGATTTTAAAAAAAAGAATACACAAAAAGTACACTTAAATCATAGTTATTTTTTACACATGTTTTACTGAAATATTGATGTAAAATACACATTTTTACCATTGCTTTTTAGTGGGAGTTGCATTCCAACAGCCAAGTGAATTTGAGAGTGTAAGATCTGGTCAATCCACAGTTGGACAAGTCACTTGATAAGCTGTTGCAGTTGATGCTGAATCATAGCCTGGCAATGTAGAAGTACTGAATAAATGTGTATGTGCAGAGATGGAGCTTTTGAATTGTTCAGCAAACATAAAAGCTCACTTTCCCCCTGATTATTTCATCATGTTGTTTACCTTTGAGTGCACACAAATTGCATGAGTACCAGAAAGCAATACAGCATAGTTCAGAATGTCACAACCCTGGTTTTTTTTTGGTGTGTTTTTTTTTAAACTTGTAGCATATGTTTGGAAGCAGAAAATGGGAAAATCAATGCAGCTAAATCAGATCAGATATTCTGAAATGTACAAAAGCTGAGGATGCGTGAATTTCTTTCCTCTTGGCTTCTCTGTCTCTGGTCCAGATGGTATCCTGCTGTGTTACACACCAGTTCTGGTCTGGAATTACTGTTAGTGCTGTTATTTCATCGCAATTTAAAGATCCCATGTATGTAGGGAAGTTGTGCTATCACAGTCATGGTAAGCTAATCCTCTACAAGAGTTTGTATACTGATCTTTACTGGTAAAGTCCCATCAGGACAATTGGATGTGGTTGGGGAATTTGGAAAGGGAAAAGAAGAAGCATCCATCCATCCATCCATTTGTTTTAATTTGTTATATATATATCCTGATTCCAGTCCTCCTATGAAAATGTCAAGGTGTTGGATGTTGAGTAATCAGGTTCAAATCCTTACTCTGAAACTTAATGACTGGCCAAACACTAGTCACTTTATTTCAGGGGTACTGTTCACTTTAACATGGGGGGACTCCATTTGTCATTCTGTCTCAGGTGGCAAAATGACTTGGACCACTCCTGCTGGTTTATTTACAGCCAGCCATTTGCAGAGCAGAAGCAATACTTTTGGGTGTCTTTAACTCCTGCTCCTGGATTTTCCAACAATCACATCCACTATCCGAGTGAGCCACAGCCAAGTCAGCTCACAATCTTTGAGCTACAGCGCTTCCTGGCCTGATAAATCAGATTCAGATAAATATATATATATGCCTCCTTCCATAATATCTCTAACGAACATGAATAATTTGACAACATTTTAAATTTTCATACGAAATTTTACCTCAGATTTGGAAGTGGTGCATGCAGAACATTACAACATGCAGGGGGAAACAGTAAATGTAAACATGATAAATCAAAAAGAATAAAGTCTTCACCATGGACGAACTTCATCTCAATGTAATTTGGGGTGCCCTACTTAAGTTTCAGTTTTCGTTGCTGGCCCTCCCATCAGGCAGAGTGAGGGAGCCAATGCTGTGGTGCAGAAGCAGTAGTGAGGACAATGTTGGACAACAAAGCTGTTTATACCACACAGCATGCCTTGTAAGTTAGTTAGCTTACTTTTCGTAGGTGCACGGGAAGTAGCTCTCCCATCTCTAGTGTTGAAATAAGATTAAACTGCCAGTCCAATTGGCTGTGATGAGGGACACCGTCTTCTCCATCACCTCAGACAGCAAGATGGCATGGGCTAGGGTTGCCATATTTCAAAAAGTTAAAAACCAGGACACCCCAAAAGTTGTTGAGCTTTTCTTAGGAATACCTCAACCTTCTTGAGCTTTTTAAAGACAATCCCTGACATTGTTGAGCATTTTTCTTTACAAAAACACTGAGAAAAATGCAATTTTTCGATTGACTTGCCTAAGATCCAGGACAAAGCGCAGCCTTTTGGAAATTCCCCCAGATGTCAATTCTGCCTCTGAACTCCCAGTATTTCATGTGAGTGATATAACATGTATTCTACATGTAACATTCAAATATAATACAGTCATATACAGCCTCCAGAAAGTGCTCTTAGAAAAGCAATATGTGTTAGCAAGATATTGTTAGGAAGAAAACAGATAAAGGTCTCAAAGCAGTTAGATTTTTATTGATAAAATTTAATATTTTTGAAGGTTAAAGCCAGTCTCTTTATTTGCAGTGTTGGTAAAGTTCCCTTTACTGTCCAAGGTTCCAATAAATTATGGAATGTAATTTCCACCATATCCACCAGAGCTTTTCATTTTATTTTTAGTACAATTCAGACAAAAGATTGGAAAGGTTTGTTTAAAAAAGGAAAAATCAATAGATAGCAATAGATTTAAATATATATATATAAGTTAGATGGGTCTACTACTCTACAATCATATATAAATATATTTAACTGAAGGTTTTCCTGTAATAACATATTTAACAGCAAGGTTTCATCAGGAACACTCCTCTTGCAAAAGTAAGCAGGAAGAGCACGTTTTTGTGCAGGCCATGATCCAGTGAAGGAGCCTCACACATTATTGCAGGTATTTCTTGTTGCTGCTGAGGAAGATGAAAGAGGTTGTTGCATTCCCGGATCTCAGTCTTCCAAAACAGCAACAGAAATCAGTGTCCAAATGCTTTTGGGGTGCTACCAGGGATGTCACAGTAATCTGCCAAGCCTTATCACCTATGTATATGTTGCCATATAGCTGGTCTTGAGAAGTATCCTGCATTTTGCTCATGTCTGCCACTTTCTCATTTAATGTCCATCAAGAGGTAGAGGGACAACTGTGTGCTGCTCCTCGTGATGACTCTTATAGGCAGGCAAGATGTACCATGTTGGTAGTCAGCTCTGTGAAGGATGCAAGTTTAGCAAGTCCTAGACTGAGCCTCAGATAAGGCTGCAGCTTAATCTGGGCAGTTAGCTTCACTCCCAGCAACAAAAATTCCTATAGTTAAAGGGGACTTGCCTATTTCAGTGGCTCTCAACTCTTACAGTGTTGAGGAGGCAGTGGTTTCATTGGAGCTTCAAAACTGGAGTGGCAATGCAATCTCCTTCTGCCGGACTGCTGCTAAAAGACTGACCTCCTGTGCCTCCTTCTGCCGGACTGCTGCTAAAAGACTGACCTTGGTGCAGTAGGGACCATGTGGTTGAATGTGTGGACAATTCCTCCTCACTCTCTGATTCTTCATCCAAGTTCCCCACTTTGTCCCCTCAAGAGGGGAAGTTGGACTCCAAGATCATGATAGACTATCATCAGCTGCTGGATGTGCAGGCTCTTGGCCTGTTGATTTGGATAGTGTGTGGAGAAACTCAAAGAACTCAAAGAACACAAAACCAGCAAAAAGCAGTTGTGAAACTGGCAGGTTCCTTCCTCTGCCCCCAATTTCTGCAGCACATCTGTCTGCTATGCAACTGAAACAGGCTTGAAACCCATTTTCAGTTTTACTTCTATTATTATGGATCATTGGGTGGAAAGGAACGTTGAAACATACTTTATGGTTTCTACCAAGTCCATATAGCCCAGTGTGCACATAATCTGCCAATGAAGAGGGAAATATGCATACTCTCCAATAAGCATACCCTTTGTTCCTGTCAGAGATGAGCAACCTGTCGCCTACAAGCCACATGCATCCCATTGTCTAATTTTATGTGATTTATGGTGTCCCTTCCTGCTAGTCAACGGGGAAGCATTGGGAGGGAGGACTGTAAGATGGGGGAGGCTTAACAAAACCTATCACGATATGCACATTTTCCAGGGCCTAGAGAATATACAAAAATGTGAGGCATGCACATTCCAAAAGGCCTGCTGGACAGTATGCATAGTGACCAAAGAATATAGAAATTATTATTGAGTTATGTTGGAATGAAGGTAAATTGACCAGGAAATTTGTACTGCAGTGGCTCTTCATGGTTCCAGACAGGGATATTTCCCAGGACATTCTAGGCATTGAAATCTTGACCTTGACAGTGGTGTAACATGGGTTGCATGGGGGGCGGGGAGGAAGGAAAACAGATGGAGTATGCATATTCAACTACCTAAGGTGTTCATGTTACCCAGGAGAGCAGAGTCGCATAGGTAAGAAAAGAAGAGTTGTTCTGTTGTCTGGAAAGGTCACTTCCTGGTTCGCATGGAAAAGCCATTTTCGGGGGGCCGCTAGGGGGCACATCGGAAGATGGCCGACAATACCATCTCTCCGGCTCACACGAGGTAATTAAGAGGCTGTTATGGGAGTATGCAGCCTCCCTCGTTACCCCAAAGGAATGGGGAACGCTGCCTTGCCTGCTGTGCCCATAATTCACCCCCAGATTCGAAAGGGGGTGAGGGCACTAGGCACAAAAGCCCTTGTGTGGGTCGGCTCTCCTGGACGCTGTCTCTGATCTGCACAGCTAGTTGCGGGAGCTCAAAATAAACAATCAGAACAGAAGCAAACGCACATACTTCAAGCGATGATCGGGAGTAAGGACTGCTAACTAAAGGGAACTCTAGGAAGAGGAGTGACGGGCTGGACTTAACAATAAATCAAGAAGAGGAATAAATTAAGAAGATTCATCAAAGGATCGGTATGTCGGAGCGAGACTGAAAAGGAGGGGGGAGAAAAACTTTTCTTTTTTTGTCTTATGTGAGTACCCAATAATCCCCCCCCCAAAAAAGAACCGTTGCAATTACTGATCACAAGCAGGAGGAATAAGAACTGTGTGGAAAGTAATTACTATGCAAGGACGTGGCTTATGGGAGCATCGGGAAACGAAAGTAAGTCCTTTGTGACGCAGTTATAAAAAGAGATTTATCATGGCAGGCCCACCCGTAGGAATCCAGGGAGAGGAGGACTATGGTTGTTACTATGTTGGAGTGTGGGTTCGGCCTAGCAGGGCCCCCTGAGAAAATTTATGAGGGAGCAGCGGGCCTGGGGAGATCAGGAAAGACTGTCGGAATGTTTTGTACGGAGGTGTTGAAATGGCGTCTGTCTACTTTTATGGCTCTTGGATGAGTGTAAAATCCGCACAGGATATAACAATGTTTGTCTTCAACCCGCTTGTGGAGATTATCAGAGATCACAAAGAAAGGAGATAACAACAAGAAGATGAGGAAAACAACAAAGAGAAGATTGAACAGAACTGTGAATATTATTTTGACAGAACTGTGTAATTAAAGCAGCAGCAAGAGAGATGATCGGATCCCTTTCGGAGCTTGAAGCACGGGTACCCCCAACAAAAATTTTAAAAATTTGGCTGTGTAATTTGGAATTATTGTTATTTGGAATTAATGTGATGTGATTGGCCTGTTAACAAAAATTATTTTTTTAAAAAGGAAAAGCCATTTTCAATGGAGCACAGCAATGGACGTGTGTAGCTTATTGAGGCAGCACAGGTGTTGAAAGTTTGCGCTCCTAACAATTTTTAAAAAAATATAATATTTATTAAAAATTTCCAATCAAACAAAATTATATATTCCAAATTATACAAATTATCCAATAATCAAACAAATTCCAATGTTATGCCTAATTATAAATTATTATTATTTTTTAGCTGACTTCCCATGCTTCGAGATCCCTCCTCCTTCCCACCTAACAATTTTTTTTGTGCCCAGGACAACTGCCCCTGTGGGCCCCCACATGCTACGCCACTGTTTCTGAATGCAAAGTGTTTGATCTTAACACTGAGCTAGTCATCCTTCAGAGTTTCTCCACTGACATAGTGAGCAAACTTGTAACATTTAGTTTCACACCAAGTGGAGCAATTTACAAATGTTCCTGTAAGTAGTAGTATTGTCTTGCTTGATAAGATCTCCTACCCATTACACTATTTCCAATGCTCCACAGCTGAGGCTCCCTCAGGATTTTTTGAGACCTGTCAATTGGTGAAAGCATTGAGCAACAACAGAGATTCCAGTTGATCATTCTTTGAATTTTCGTGATGATGCGTTAATTGTTGGTCTTTGAATATAACTTTCCTATCACGTGTGTATCAGTGCCATAGAAAGCATCTTATTATAGACATTGCTCAATCATTTGCAGGAGCTTGTCATTTAGGAGTAGTTTAAAGCCCCTCACAGAAGGAAGTTTCATAAAAGAATAAAACTATTTTGGTTTGCCCTGATTGTTTCTAACAAATCCATGTTGATTACTACTCATCACCCAGATTTTCTTTTAGTGGTTAAAAACCAAATAGTGTGTATGATTTGGTCTAATTTTGTCTCTGGTATTGAAGAACAGCTAATCAGTCTGTAATTCCTTGAGTCTTCTCCCTTTCATTTTTAAAGCCTAGATAATATATTCACTCTTCCCTAGGCTTTTCAGCTTTCACCAGCTAACACCTTCAGAATCCTTGAGTAGTTACCATTAGGCCTCACTGACTACACGGATTTTCTACATATACTGTGATATTCTTTGTTATCCTGTCATCGTAAAAAAACATGGAGCAAGGCTGGCTTTATCGGTGCAAAGCTTGACACTGAAATCCCTTGGATTTCATGGATACTGATGAAATAAGGGGCAGAGGGGGATACAGCAATTTGTTAGACTTGGACCTAAATCAATGTATTGAAGCTATGCTAATAAATCAAAGGACCTATATGGCCTACAGCTTATTAAATATTAAAGCAGGATTCAGTGGAAATACAGTGGAAATACTCCTTGGTATGTGTCATTAATGTACATGCCAGGAATCTGCATTTAAAATAGGAGAAATTATTACATAGCCCATTGCTTTCAACTCCAGAGGCTTAGAGTGGAGCTGAGCTAAAATTGCTCAGAATACTGTACATTTTTTTGCAAAATAAAAATGTGTTGTGCTGTTTTTGTTTCTGCTTTTTATTACCTCCACTAGAACAAAAAGGTCACTTTGTAGAATTTCCTTTCACTATTCACCACCATTTTGTATGTGGAGCACCTTCAACATGACCTGGAACCATGGTAGTTCTAGGGCATTGTGGAGGCAGAAAAATTGTAGTCAGGCTACTAGTATTATTTCCCAGGGACAGACCCAGATTTATAGAAGCCGTCCCACTTTCTGATTTGATCCCGGAATGTCCTGCTTTTCCTTAGGATGTCCCTATTTTCATCAGAGAAATGTTGGAGTGTATGGAGTTGTGTGACCCTTGAGCCAAAGAGATAAGTAACTGTACAACCTTTAGAAAACATTTGAAGGCAGCTCTGTATAGCAAAGGGTTTTTTAAAAAAAGTTTAATGTTTTATTATGTTTTATAGATGCTAGAAGTCACCCAGAGTGGGGTGTTGTTGTTGTTGTTGTTGTTGTTATGATATAACACTGGTCCTAAAAGGCCTACATTGGCTCACAGTACATTTCTGAGCACAATTCAAAGTGTTGATGCTGACCTTTAAAACCTAAAATGGCCTCAGCTCAGTATACCTGAAGGAGCATCTCCACTCCCATTGTTAAGCCCAGACACTAAGGTCCAACTCTGAGGGCCTTCTAGTGGTTCCCTCACTGCGAGAAGTGAAGCTACAAGGAACCAGGCAGAGGGCCTTCTCGGTAATGGCACCCGCCCTGTGGAACGCCCTCCCATCAGATGTCAAGGAAATAAACAACTATCTGACTTTTAGAAGACATCTGAAGGCAGCCCTGTTTAGGGAAGTTTTAAATGTTTGATGTTTTATCGCTTTATTATTAATAATATTCTGTTGGGAGCCACCCAGATGGGCGGGGTATAAATATTATTATTATTATTATTATTCCATATTTTCATCAGAAAAATGTTGAGGGTATGCGCACGCACACACACACACACACGCACACACACACACACACACTGCTTCAAGAAACCAAGCAAAGTCCATTACCCTGAAGCAGCAATATTGTCATTTTGCATGCTATACAACTGACAAGAAAACAAAAAAACTCTCTTCCAGGCTTCCACAGTGGCTTATACAGATCAGTAATAAGGAAAATAATAAGCAGTGATAAAACAATGGACCTTTAAAATTAGCTGTCTTTTTCCCCTACGTACCTCTGTGGGAAATTGTCGCTTTCCACAAAAATCAAACCTGAACCTGAACATCTAAAGTCTAACCCTATTCAGATCATACTTAGCCAAACTATTTTATTCATTCACACAGAACACTATAAATCACTTCCTATTTCCAAAACTTCAAACTTTCATTCCATTTATTCAATTACTTTGGGTGGAGGGCAGGGAAAGAGTTTTCCAAAGCAATTAGGAAAAGTAAGTCTGCACTATATTACAAATGTACTCATTTTACTCCTAACCAGCTGCCCCCTCCTGCTAGCTCTGGAAAAACAACAGAGATTCCCCAGACTAGAAACTGTGCTAGAAAGACCACTAAAAGAAAATAGAAAATAGCAGCTTTTTAGGACCCAGAAATTCCCAAATCCTGTTGGGTAAAATAACTCACCCATCAATCACAACTTAGGACTTCACTCATTGGCTTAAAACAGTGAAAGGCAGGAAAAGGCAGGCTGGACCATTTCTCTGCACATTTCTCTTTCTAACTTTCTTTGAAGTGGGCTTTCTTTTTAAAAAAATAGTAAATAGAAATTTCAGAATCTGGGCCCCTTGCAATTGCTTCAATTGCCGAACTGTAAATCCAGGCATATTAGTAAACATAAGACAGGGAAGTAGCCTTAAGAAACAAGTCAGGAAACAAAAGAAGCATCACAGAAAAGAGGTTCTTCCTTGACTGGAAGGCATTTGTGTGTAATTAGCATCACAGGGTAATATAGGTAACAAATTGTTAATCTCCTGAACACAGACGGTGCAGTTACTTATGCAAATCTTAACAATGGGTGCACTTTGAAAACTGCTAAGTTCATAATTTCCTGTTATATTTGCTTGGGTGAAGAACTGCATTGTGATCCATCATAACCAGTTGCATTAGTCATTGTGCTGTAATAAATCACATTGTATAAAGCAGAGCTTCTTCAAAGGAATTGATCTCCCCCATCCCACCCCCCATTCCCTTTAGGAGATGTCTCTAGCTTGAAAAGTGTCTCTGCTCCTAATGCTCCCCCCCCCCCATAATTCAATAATGGACTATAATTACAACAGTAATATTTAAGATTATATAATGACAAAACATTTGTGGGATGGAATCAAAAGTTCAAGAAAGCATGAAATTGTATTAATTCCAAAGAACTGTTAGTAATTATGCAAGGTGATGAATTTTGCCTTCCCCTAATTATCTATTACATGTATTAGGATGTTGTTATATCTTTGTTTGGTATTTAGGGAGACATGGCTATCTAATAGTCCTTCCTAAAATAAGTTAACATATTTATTTCATTAATTTTAAAACGTCAGGGTGGGGGGCGTGCACCCTGCATATAGCTTGGTTCTGTTGATTCTGCCATCATTTATTTGAATCAACCATTACTATCTTTAAATGCCCCTACACCCAAGGAGCTCAGGGCAGCATAAAAAGTGGTGCCAAGGGTGGGGTGGTGGCACTGGGGTTTTTGCCTGAAGTGGAAAAGTGTCCTGGGTCAGCTCTGACCATGTATTCCCACAAATGCGTTTCTGTCCCACTCAATATCTCCTAACCAAGTTTTCAACTGGTGAAACAATTGGTAGTCACTGATCTTAGAGAGGAGGCTTTGCTGAGGGCACCACTGAAGGTGGTGATCATCTCAAGCTCCTTTTGCATTTCTGCTGGGCTGGCACCAAGTTTAAGGAGGTCCTGGGTAAGGTACCTTATGCCAGAGACCATCTTGGCTGTGAATCCCAGAAGACCTCCTCCCTGCCTTGCAGGCCTTTTCCCACCTCACCTGAAAGGCTAGGGCCCTGACTGACTCCAGCTACAAAAACTGAGGCTGCTGAACAGACTCTTGGACTGGGGTATTTTTTAGCAGGGTTTGTTGGCAGGAGGGAGAGGAGCTGTTCTTGCTGTTATTGAGATTAATTTTTGCATCTATATTTTAGATCTTACTATGATTTATGTGGAAATAGTTCAATTTGTGTACTTTTACAGTTTTATTTATGGTTTATGACTGCTTTTGTTACAGCACAGTCAATGGTCATAGGTCATGGGAGTTCCAGGCCAGCAATATCTGGAGAGCCAGAGATTCCCCACCCACGTCTTAGTAGAAGAAAGTTGGTGCTAATAGGCAGTATGAAAAAATTACTCTTCCAAATTAAAAGCAAACAAACTTTGTTTTATCGTTTTAATGTTTTGTCATCCAATTAAGACTGAATGATAAACTCCTAGTGCTGAGGATGGGGAGGTAGAAAAGATATATTCTCTAGTCTGTGGCAGATTGTTATTCCCATTAACACTAATGGAACCAACACAGAGAAAAGGAAAATGTCTGTTTACGTTACATTAGAGCATTTCTTGGGATACAGTTGTTTATCACCTTAACCAAACACCTCAGCAATCACTGAGGATTTGCCCATCTTTTGATAATTGCAGTTCAAGGCAATTAGAGTGCTTCAAATTGTTGATTATTTTCTCACTTTACTACTGTTGCCATTTCTTTTATTAAAGTGTTGCTGTTTTGAAAATTTAAGTTTAGCACAAGAAACCCTTTTAATGGGAGGGTTCCACTGCCAGTTTTAAACTGGCCAATGCCATAGCTGTCAACTTACAGATTTGAAAATAAGGGACCAGCAGCCTTGAAAATAAGGGATCAGCAGCCAAAATAAGGGATTTTGCTTAGCTTATACGGCACTGATGGAGCCATGCTGCTTTTGCTGCGACTGACTTTGTTTTGCAGGGGGTTGCACTAGATGATCCTAAGGGTCTACAACTCCCACCAAAGAAGAGTGGCAGACAAAACTGATGAACGATGTTGAGATGGCAAATCTTACAGGCAGAATTAGAAACCAGGAAGAGGACCTCTTTAATAAAGAATGGGGAAAATTTATAATTTAGTTGAAAAGCTATTGTAAAGTGTTACATACATTGGTAGGATTGACAGAAAACTTATAGTAAAAATTTGAACTATGGATAGACAAATGATTTATAAAAATAGAGTTATGAAAGGGATTCAGAGGGGGAAATCACTACATTAAGATGCTGCACTGGTTGGAGGGTATGCTAAGCAGCACGTCGGGGCTGCCATCGTCTTGGCGCGAGGAGTTCCATTGGCCCTTCCCCGCCCAAGAGAGGGGGGGAGGGAGAGAGACTCTCGCCCACGCCACCCGCGAGCCTGGCATGAGGCGGTTGTGGTGCCGCCATGGCCACTGAAGCGCCACCCTTCTGTGTCCCTCCCCATCCCTTCCTCTTCCTCCTCCCTCAGGCCACCTCCTCAGCTGCCACCGCCACTGCCGCTTCCGGCTTCCCCTGGCAGCTTGGCGGAAGTCTCGCAAGAGAGGGGCTGCCTGCCTGCCCACCGCCACCCATCTCCTCACGACGCAAAAAAAAAAGGGAGAGACGGAGACGCGGCAGCTCGTGCGCGCGCTCTCTCTCGTGGTGGAGGACCCCGAGCCACTGCTTCCCTCCAGAGCCGGGCGAGCATGAAACCCATTAAATTTAAGGGAATCATCAATAAGGGACAACAGCGGGACACGGCGCTGGGATAAGGGAGTTTCCCGCCAAATAAGGGACGGTTGACAGCTATGGCCAATGCATGTCCACCAAAATGCAAAGCTCATGTTTGCTTCATTTCTCGCGTATGCACGTGCATACAAATATTCACAAGAGTCTATATTCTCATTCTTCCTTTCAGAGGCCAAATTGTAAGTGTGGCATTCAGTTTTCCACAAGGTTGTGCTGCACCTTCAAATGGTCCTTATTGCAATCACTTGAAGGGCAGTGGGGCTGAAGCAAAAATGCTTCAAAAAGGGCAAGCAGAACTTTGGGTAACGTTTTGAGGGGTCAGGATCTGTGTCGCTGCTCGTCCTATTCAACAGTCCTCTGCCACTCCCCCCCCCAACTTTAATCCCAGAAAGTTTCTCCTTCTCACCCCATGCAACTACTAAGCTCACTTTTCACCTTTACAACCCCATTTCTGAAGCCACCTCTCTCATCTATTCTGCAGCAAATTGTGCCTTTCAACAATGGCAAAAGTTTGAGTAAAGCAGAGATGGTGTAACACTAAGGATTTTTAAAAAATCAAACCAATTTTAACAATGAGAAATAACACAACATTATTTCTTTAACTCCCATTTCAGTGTACTCATACCATGTTTAAACTCTATTCAAACCTCTGCCATTTTTTTTTAAATATCACCACTTTTCCCAATTCAGTTTCCTTCCGTTCCTGCTTTCTTCAAACCTGCTGTTGTTTAAAACCACAATTTCCCTCTCCGTTGGTCTCCACCACTGCTTGACTCAAAGTTCTCCCTCTTCAATTCCTCAGCTGCCTCATGTGAGAGTGATAAAGGATGTGAAGCCCTCAAATATTTCATTGTATGAAGGTACTTTACTCAAACCTCTGCTGTTGTTTAGAATCACTGTTTCCTCCCCTCAGTTTCCCGCATACCTGCTTTACTCAAACTTCTTTACTCAAACTTCTGCTGTTGTTTTAATCTCCCCCGCCCTTTCCCACTGCCAGTGTCCTTTCTTTCTCATTCTCATGCCTTGGCTGCTGTTGTTGCCCAATCTTCCTCCTCTTTTGCTCCCCTCTCCTCCACCCCAACTTCATGCAAATCCAGGATTGTGATGCAACACTACAGGTTCTCTAATGGGGACTTCACAATGACGGCTTGACATTTTTATGTAGATAGGGAGAAAATTGAAGGTTGAAAAACCCACACACACATAATGACAAACTGTGTTCAGGTTATTGTAAATGTTACATTGGGTGATACCCAACTAAGTCATATTCAGAGTAGGCCCACTGAAATGAATGCATATGACTAACATTAGGCATTTTTCAATTTTTAAGCAGCATATCCAGATATGTGCTTATCAAAAGTAATTTCTCTCCGAAGATCCCATTCTATAGAGAGACCAGATAAAGATGTCAGTCTCAATGGCAGCATTGTTCGCCATGATTTATTTTTAATAAAGGGTAATTTGGAGAATGCTCTTTCTCCTTCACACTTTGGAATGAGAAGAGTTAGATTAAGCAAGAAGCTATAGTAACATTTCTGAAAGCTTCAACAAGTACCTTATTATAAACTGATCTTCAAAATCTTATTTGTAGTAGTCTTAGATCCATCACATCCCTCTGTAGTATCTAAGAAGTGACTCCTCAAAGCAAAGGGAGAAAGGCACTCCTTGGTAACAAAAAGAAAAGGGGGGGAACACATAAATGGCAAGGTTTGAGAGTTACTGATTCCACTTCTAAAACATTAAATCTGGTTTGTGATGCACTAACTGTGCTTCTAAGGTATGTTTATTTGTGAGAAAAGGATGCTAGTGTGGCAGTTTGTTTTGAAATCCTCCCCATGAGATTTATGGAGTGGGATCTGAGTGGGGGTGACGAAGCAGGCAGCAATGCAGCAGTGTTAACTGATCAATATTGATGATCAATAATAATGCACCCCACCTCTCCGTGTAGAAGGCCCAGGACAATCCCCATCCTATAAAACGGGTATGGGTCTAAAGTCTGTAACTTTGCACCAGTGGCAAATCTGACGTCTTTGTGGCAGTTTTCAGGTGCCAGGAAAGAGGTTGCAACCCCCCATCTCTAAAGCCCTGTTCAGATAAAAGTGTACGGTGCATGGCGAGGACAGGAGCACACATTCAAACCCCATGCCTAACTCATTGCACGCTTGCCAGCTCTGCTTCGGATCTTCTTGCATTGAGATGCAAGGAGTGAAGGGGTGGTGGTTCTAAAACTGTGTAAACACTCCTGTTGGCTCTGAATCCAGTGTGCTCCCAGCTCTGGTTCAAGAAGCAGTGTGCGAACAATGTGAGACTCAATCCACACCTATCCTGCCGTTTATTACAAAATACTTCATTTCAATGCATTTTCCCCCAACCCAGCTTTGATACACGTTGTGTAAAATAACGAGCAGGCTGCATTTTAAACTAGTAATGCATTTGCAGCCTAACTGCGCTCTGTCACCACCTGAGTCTCTTCTCCCTGCTTTCCGAGGGAGGTCTGAATGGGGCTCAACTGTTGTTAGCATCCAGAACGCTGGCTTATGTTCTTTGTCAACTCTGGCTGCGCCTGTCTCCGATTGGAAACCCGTCGTACTGTTTTAAGAAAAGCAATGTTCATCATGAAAGCCCTGAGTGAAATTTCCAGAGTTGGCAAGATTCAATTACACCAGCTGAACAACTTGCCTGTTCTGTCAACTTGCTTCCCAGCCTTCTCTAGCATTGTCCCCATATGGTTCAGTGTATATCAGTAATGTTCTTGCGGTAATCTAATTTGGTTAACACAAGGAAACATATGTTTTCCCTGCCATAAGCATATCTTGTGCTTGCTGTGGTCTGCAAATGCTTTCCTCAGATGGTGATGACTTGCCACCCTGTGCAGCTGAGCCCTGGCATCGCCATGCCATACGTGGAAGGATCACATTCGCACCTGAGCATTCTGCTCAGTCTACATGATACCGTTACAGATTTGACTGATTAGCCAGCGCCCTGCCAATAGCCACATGCCAGAATGCAATGATCAAAAAGGATTGCCAGGGAAAGAGAGGAAGGGGCAATTGGAACAGAATTGCAGCCGACAGCAAAATGCAATGTGAGCAAAGTCGATGCTCACAACGTAAGACAAATGCAGGCAGAGGAAAAGGAGAATTATGGAGAGTCAGGTGATAACTTATTCATAGATTTCTGTGGAAAGCACAGTTAGCAAATATACCATCTGTGAAATAGAGCTGGCATTCCTTAAATGTCTATTAGCAATTGCGATCCACGCCGAACACCTGATCTCTGCTCCACACTCCTTGATAACAACAACAAAATAAACCATTATGCTTCAATAGCTTATATAATGTTATGTAATAGTATCATTTTAGGTAATGCATTAACAATATAAGATTGTAAACGATCATGTAGATTTTTTCTTTTTTGCTTTTTCCGGAGCTCATTACATCATTAACACTTTGGCCATTAAAAAGCTGATTAATGATTTTCAATATGCTACAAATCTGGCTTTCAACTTTGTTTCCAACAGAAATGTCATAGCAAACATTTTTGGTGGGGGGGGGATGTAATAGGAATGCACATCTTTCAGTGTGGCTGTATTTTTGTAGAAGTCAATACTACTTAATTATTTGCTTTCCTCTGATACTCTTAACCTACAGTGGTTTTTCTATTTTAAAATATCAAGCTGCATGGAATACTTTTCTTTTTTGCAGGAAAATAAAAATAAAAGATCAGTCTCTAGGTGTATTTCCTGTGTTAGTAAATTGAAGCCCAATTGTCCCAGCATGAGGAATACCAATGCTTGTTTCATGATGTGTGCATCCAAAGCAATCCAATAAATTAGACCCATGTTCACCCAATGGGCATGTGATTCTGGAACTTGTGAAATTACTGTCAGTATGTAGCCTCATTAGACTTCACACATATCCATCCCCCTGAAGTTGTTTTTGAGCAACCGTACCAGTTTGAAGTCCAGAACAAAACAATGTAAGCATGTGTTGTTCTACCTGTTTTGTAGAAAGTTGTTTTATATGAACACTGTTCAAATTATTCCCTTAATGGAAATTTCCTTTTAATCTTTAGACACATCTAAACGTTTTGCTTCACTAGAAGAACAAGGGCATTTGAGTTCACCAGCTCAGCTACATCATTATCTTGGTCTGACTTGAGTTTATACATTTACTCCAGTTTTTCCTTCACTTAGTTTTCGCTTTTATTTTATTGTGGATCCAGATTGTTGATACTTATATGGAGTATGACTAAGTACTGTTGATATTAGTAGAACGAAAGTCTGGGTCCAACTCCATATAGGAGTAGTGTAGTTTGATTTTCTTCAAGATTAAATTGGGCAATATAGTCCATTAGATCTGCTTATTTGAAATTTAGATTTATAATAAAATATATTGATCTTTAGGGCTTGCCAATCAGAAGGTCGGCGGTTCGAATCCCTGCGAAGGGGTGAGCTCCCATTGCTCTGTCCCAGATCCTGCCAACCTAGCAGTTCGAAAGCACATCAAAATGCAAGTAGATAAATAGGTACCGCTCCAGCGGGAAGGTAAATGGCATTCCCATGCGCTGCTCTGGTTTCCCCAGAAGCGGTGTAGTCATGCTGGCCACATGACCTGGAAGCTGTACACCGGCTCCCTCGGCCAATAAAGCGAGATGAGCGCCACAACCCCAGAGTCGTCCGCGACTGGACCTAATGGTCAGGGGTCCCTTTACCTTTACCTTTTATATTGATCCTTTCATTTTGTTCTCCAATTTCTGTTTAACTTGAACGTAAGAGTAAAGTATTCCATTAAGGGCAGGCAAAAAGCTATGGGAAGGAAGTTAGTATGGTCTAAACTAGTATCTCAGAGAATAAAAAAGGAGAATCAGGTTTGTCTAATAAAGATCTTATTGTTCACCTGTTAACGGCTCGTAACTTGTTTTAGCCAGATACTGGAGAACTCTTAATACAGACCTTTATGAAGAATGGTAGTAGAGATATGGGACATAATTCTTATGGATAAGCCAGCAGCACCCCAAAGAGAACACTGTATTTTGGGGGGAGGGACACCACAACGTTCTGTATGACATGGTTTAATTTACTTGAATATGTGCAATCTATTGAACATGGCTTCCATGCTTCAGCTTCTCACATTGTCACATTCTCACATTGTGGAACAATACATTTGTTTGATTTATTCTCACTGGACGGCATCACTTTACGCCTTGATTCTAATGTATTATTCTTTAACGCTGTCTCTATACTTTGGGGGGGGGGATGAGTTGGTAATAATGTTATTGTTGTTTCCTTTGTCAATAAAATATGGTAAAAAGGAGGTGGGAGGTCATGCTCAGATTTCAGTGTGCCTAGGAGAAATGCACTAGCATTTTTCCCTGTAAAACTGGCTGAATGTTCAAAGCTGGTGGTAGAGGAAGAGGGAGAATAAAATGCTTTAAAAAAATAATAATATATAACTAAGGATGAGCATAAACTTTAAACATGTTAACTGTTGTATGAATACATAGCTATAATCTCCGACCCTAAGAGGGTGCACAGTGTATTTATGAGACTGAAACTGCTTACAGTTCAATTCAGCCACCTCTGAGTAGACAATATCTTCAAAGAGACGAGAACACAAAAATTGTAAAAAGCCAAGCTCTTACTATATATATTTCAGGTAATAGGAAACTTACCAGTGTGGCGCTGGCATACTTCAAATAAAACTTACCAAAACAGCAGGCATTTTCCAAGAGCCAAAAAGGACCTAGGCAAATCATTTTCATACTTATTCCTCAAAAGTCCTCCCAGTATGAACAGCAAAATGGTCTCCATGGTTTGGAAATAGAAATACTGGTACCTGACAGATTTTTAATTATTTCTCTCTCCTTAAGATCTTGAAAACTTTGAAACCAAAGCAAGAAGCACCGTATCAGTCAGAGAAGGACAAGGAGTCGTTCTGCTCTGTGGACCTCCACCACACTATGGAGGTAGTATACAACATTCTTATTGCTCCCCCCCCCCCCAGTATTTGTATACTGTAATTTGATGAATGTGCAACACATTATTGGGACATGATTTATCCTCATGCAGATTCAGTATGCATAGGGTTTATGATCAGAACTAGAGAACCTGCCCATTACCATGCTGCAGAATATAAGGCTTCAGTAGTACAGTTCTGAAAGTTGAAATATACATATAGCTTGTAGGCTTTGCAGATACAAGACACAGACACAGACACAGATAAGTATAAAGTATTTCTGTTGTTCCAGCAGTTCAAGACATAACACAGACTCACAGGCTCACTTCTCAAGACTGACCTTGACAGACAGCACAAGTCCCCGGATTGATAAACTGACGCGCCTTAATCACTTCTATAGTCATCACAGGGCTGTTGCAACTGGCTTTGCTGACCATCCACCTGTTGACTTATCTCAACCTTAGAGTAATTTGTGCTCATGAAGGAAATTAACCCCTTCCTCCACATCCAGTTCCTCCAACAACAGCTACCCCCTCACTAATTTTTTCTAAACTACAAAGCCCAACTGTTGTAATGGGGTGTGGCTCCAGCCCCTTGATCATTTTGCTTGTCCTTTTCTTCACACCAGGGGGTGGGGTAAGGGAGAAAGTGACTTACCCCAAATACCCTCTTATCACTTTTTAAGCCCCCACCAGCCATTTTGGAGCATTCAATAGGTTTCAATGTGTCAGTTTAAATTGACAGAATGCAGAGGTCTCTATAGATTGTAATAGGCAGATTTAAAATTGCTGCAGACTCCCAGACAGGAAGAATGGGTGGAAGAACTGGCCAGAGTTGATGTGCACGCAGAACTGAGGCGTGTGTGTGTTGAGAAGGGGGGATGCAAGTTGGCTTTCCTCTGGGTTTTTATTTTCAGCTGGAACTTGCTGAAACTAAGTTCCGGCACCTCTCAGGTGGGTACGATTGCTGTTATAAGAGAACAAACGAGGCATTCATTGTGAGTCTTTTTCTAGGAAAATAGCACTGCCTTTCCTCATCTTGTTTCTGTTCTCAGACATAATGCCTCTTTGAGGACGCCAGCTTCCTGTGCTATCCCCATCCCTACTCTAACACACCTTTTCAATATTTCACGTACTCCATTTCCCTCCCTAGATTTTATTAACTTCCTAACTACCTTATAGGGGGAGGGATACTTTGATAGATCCCAAGTGACATGCTGTTTCTAATTATAGTCACATAATATTATAGGAAGTCAGCATAAAGTTCCAGAGAAACTACTAGTGTTTACAGACTCATTATCATACTACGCTGATGTTGCAACTGGAACATAAATAATGTTTGTAAAATGGCACTGATGATGGCAAGGAGCTGGAATGGGGAAAGAGTCAACGTTTTGAAATGAATCAGTTGGCAGAGAGTTTCGCTCGGCTCATGAATTATACATTTAATTAAGGGATGCTAAACTGCTAGATTTCAAAACTTCTGATTTACTATGTTTTATTAAAAATACAATTTCCATGCCGCTCCTGCCACTGCCGGAGCCCGATAGAAAGAGCTCAGCAGTCAGCTGTCAAACTGCAGACAGCAGGAAGGAACAATTGTGACAGAAGGTGAACGGAAGCCACTGGACAGAAGAGCAGTGAGTCAGACAGATCAGAGCTGCTGGGGGATCAGAAAGGAGGTGAGCTACCAGCGCCCACTAGGAAGCAGCTACTGGGGAAAGAGGAAAAGGAAAAGTTAGCATATGAATTGTCGGTCCTCAAAGCACAGCTCCCAAAGTGGGAAGTATTTGAAGTGCAGAGGGTGTCTGTGAATGTCTACCATCACCTGTGTGGTTGTGCAGACTCTGAATGCCTATGATAGCCTTTTTAAAAAGTACTGTATAAACCCACTTAAAATCCCCATGCAGACTGTCGTCTGTCAGGTCAAAGTTTTAAAAACCAATCCATAGCTCATTGGATGGAACTGGAGAAGATGGGGTTAATTTAGGCAGGGAGCCTTCTTTGGTTTTGGACTATGAAGGGCTCTTTTTTCCTACTAGTCTGGTCAAGTGTTTTCATAACTTAATGGGGGAACGACCTGTGGTTAGCACACTGACAGCGAGAACCCTTCACGTGGAACATAATACTTGGGATTTGTTTTGCTTTTTTGAGTGTTAAGTATGTTCACTGTTTTCCGAGTCCACACAAGTGCAATAACTTTTAGCGGCTAATTGAGGCAGCATACTGAGCCTAAACCATCCACTTTTGTTTGCCTTTGTTTTCACTTGCAAATTGGCATTGCTATTTGCATATGATGATCTAAGGCAACTGTGCTGTACAGACAAAGGTCTGTCAAAAGTGGGCCCCTTTCTAAATGGACTGTGTTGGGCCTGAATTTTAAGTACTGCTATCCCTATACTTCCTGTCCCACACATATGAGCCAAGATAGGGAGTGAAAAAGTTTGCCTCCTCTAAACACACCCTTTAGTCTTGAGTTGCTTAGATGAAGTCCTTCCAAAGGAAGTAGTGAAAGAAAGGGAAGGGTGAGTTTTGCCAGACTTTATAAAGTCATTCCAAAGAAAGCAGTGTGAAGACAGAAGACTTAGAATTGGAAAACAATGTTTGGAGCTTTCTCAAGGGTAATGTAATCCACCCACTTGCTGTATTTGTCTTCCTTAGAACTAATTCAAAATCAGTTGTTACATATAATTATCAGCTGTACTTGCAGATGTACGTGTGTCCAAGGACTGACAGTATTATATTAACCCGTTGAGGATACAGTTCCTCCTATCTGATAAAAATGTGTTCCATTGCAATGTACCCAGCAACTTAGAACGAGAAAGGGAAGCTTGTAAAGTAGCCCAACACATAGGCTCCTTGCCTCTTCACGGCTATCCACATTATCCCCAGGGCTGCTTCTCTCGAACCTGCTATACTTGATGACAACTCATTCTAGTGTGTGACTCATTTCCATTAAAAACTGTTCTGTTGGAGATGAAAATGGGTGATTTGTGGTGGCTCAAATCATTACTGATTTTGCATTCAACAGGTGTAGAATATGTATCTGTCAACTGGTGTTCTTCCTGCCACCTAGATCCCTGGCTGGATTTTAAAATGTTCTGCTATCCATGATTTGCTGTTGACTGTTGACATCACTGCATCTATATGTTTCCCTAACCCTAAGGCACTCTCATTGCAAATGGCAATGAGAGTGGTGTTATTTCAGCATTTTATTTTCATTTAAAGAGTGGGGAGAAAACCACTTGAACAGGAAGAGGACAATGAATGAATCCGGATGAATGAAAGACTACTTGAAGATTTACCGTTAGAGCCTTGCTTTTCTATGTTAGTTAACTTTATCAAAAACTGAAATCACAGTTTGTCTCCAATAGTGCTATCTCTCAGAGTTTTGCTAGGAAAATATGTGTAATAAGTGTTTGATGTTTTCCAGATTTATCCTATGCTTGGATTTTCAATGATAATCCCTTATATGTTCAGGAGGACAGTCGTCGATTTGTATCTCAAGAGACAGGAAATCTATACATCGCCAAAGTGGAACCTTCTGATGTGGGCAACTACACATGTGTTGTAACCAACACAGAAGCCAAACAAAGTGTGCAGGGCCCACCCACACCCCTTGTACTCCGTAGTGATGGTAAGGCTTGTTTTGCGTACAATCTCAATTAAACCCCCTTAAAAATGCAGCCTGCCGACTTGTTAAGGTCTACAGAGGACTCTCTCTTGGTGATCCCACACAGAGTGAGGTTGGCAGTTGAGGAGTCCAGAAGAGCGCGTTCTCTGTGGTAGCCCTGCAGATTTAGAATGGGCTCCTTTCATGGGTGAATCATGACGGTATATTATTTTCATTCAGAAGACAGGCTTAGATGCACTTATTTGCTTCTCCCACCTGCGTAATTTGTGGTTGTTATTAATGTTATGGTGCTTGCTTGCTTGTTTATTTATTTATTTATTATTGTTGTTAACTGTGATTTTAATGTTACCCTTTGCTACACTGGGACTCTTGAATGAAGAGTGAACTATAAATACTTGCATATGATATCACCTTGATATTTTTGAAGTGCAATAGATTATCGCAACATTTGTGTTACCCATTTACATTAATCACAGAGCTCCTTTTGAGTCTATACTTTGAGTCTGCTCACCATTGCTAAAAGGAAATAATTGAGCAAATAAGCAAAGGACAATAGAGTGGCTTAAATACACTGCAAAAGTTTTTTTTTCAAATGCCAGGGATTTTTTTAAAATGAATTTTATTTTGGTGACATGATAGCAATCCTCTATTAGAGATTGCTAGTCCCTGGGATTTCTGGGAAGAGCAAATAACTGTTAGGCCAGTCAGTTTGTAAGGAAGATATGTCAACAGTAAACCAAGCACATTTCAGGGGAAAGAGGCCTGATAAAAAAAATCCTAATCCACATGCTAATGTTATTATTCCAAGAATGCTCAGATTCAGATGTGACAGGCTTGCATTGTTTAGAGCTACAAAGCAGAACACTAGATTTAATCCAGTTTAGTCACTGAAGTGAAAGGCACTCTTTTTAAAAAAAAAAAAAAGCTTTTAATTAAATGTTTGCAGTTGAAAATACATAGCTGAGAAATCTTTTGGTGAAGTGTTTTTGAAATGGGTTGGCTCCTTCAAGCCATGGCCCCTCTTAAGTGTAGCCAAAAAGGGCTCTCATAAAATAGCAACAACTATTGCAAGGCGTTATGTTCCAGACTGTAAAGCTGTGGGACATTTTCAGCCCAAAGGCACATTCCCCTGTGGGGAAGGACGATTGGCATAACTCGGAAAAGCAATGTATTTGACTTTGTACAACTGCCTACATTTCAGGAGGACAAAAATCATTTCTGTTCCTGTAGCAGGGACATATTTGGCCCCTCGCTTTTTCCTCAAAGATGACTCAGGAGGATTGAAACCCAAAGGTAGGGGGTGGAGGACAGAGCCATTTGAGGCAGAGTGTACAAGATCTCACACAATTTTGGGAAAGATACCATGCAAAATCTTGACAATCTTGCCCAAAATCAGTGCCGATGGTGGTGCCACTTCACCAGCAGAGGACGTGGCAGGGCATGCAATGGTGGCAGAACAGGTGGTGGCAGCAGGAGCAGGTATGTGGTGTAGGGAGCATCAAAACTTGTATAGACTACCTACATGAGTCAGAACCCTGAAATCAGACAGGAAGTCTACATGAGTAGCATTGGCTCCCTGCTGCAGAACACCAGGCCTACACCTTTGGAGATCTGTCAGGCCCACTGATGTGCTCTCCCTTCAGATATATACCAGATGCTTGAGATGCCAGAGATTTTTCTTACCAGCAGTTTGAGCAATCTCCTAATTTTTAACCTGCATAAAGTATAAAAAGGTAAAGGGACCCCTAAAAGTTAAGTCCAGTAGCAGAAGACTCTGGGGTTGCGGCATTCATCTCGCTTTACTGGCCGAGGGAGCCGATGTTTGTCCGCAGACAGTTTTTCCGGGTCATGTGGCCAGCACAACTAAGCAGCTTCTGGTGAAACCAGAGCAGCACATAGAAATGCCGTTTACCTTCCCACCGGAGTGGTATCTATTTTTCTACTTGCACTATGACGTGCTTTCGAACTGCTAGGTTGGCAGGAGCAGGGACCGAGCATAGGGAGCTCACCCCGTCCTGGGGATTCGAACCACTGACCTTCTGATCAGCAAGCCCCAGAGGCTCAGTGGTTTAGACCACAGCGCCACCCGCGTCCCTTGCAAGTATAGGTGTTTGCTCAGCACATCTATATTACATGGTTAATGTGGTTGGTGAGTAATAGGTTGTGCAGCCTGGTGGCATACTGTTACATCTATATGAAAAAAAATATTTTTAAAGCTTTTGAATATGTATTTAAAAAGAGAATAAAGCAGAAAATTCAGTGGAAATGGGATCTATTCAGCTAGTTTTGTTGAAGAAAGGCTTAAAATGATATGTGGTGAAAGGTGTGAACAAAAATGTTTTGCAATTCCATCTAATGAGGGGTTTGCCCAGTTTCTCAGATGGAAACCCATTTCTCACGAGGTTTGGAGTGTGAAAGACATCTGACTTTAGGGCTGCATTTTTACAGAAATCAAGCCATCTTAGGAATTTGAAAAAGAATGTAATGTGCTGCTGACAACTGCCAAATGCTAGCTTCTTTTTCACAATATGGTTCAGGAGGTCAAGGGGAAGTCACTTGTATGATTTGATTTGTAGACTTCATATTAAGCACTTGCATGGTGATGAAGTTTTCCACAGTAGCCTGCTCATGTTCTCGCTGGAAGACATTTACTAGCTTCCATAAGAAGAAGTGAGGCCACAATTTTTAATGTCACACTGATAATCTGTTGTAGTAAGACAGGTCTGAGGCACAACTGTAGCGCTCCCTGTTTTGATGTTCAACAGGTGTGATGGGGGAGTACGAACCAAAGATTGAAGTGCGTTTTCCAGAAACAACACTGGCAGCAAAAGGCTCATCCATTAAACTGGAATGCTTTGCCCTTGGAAAGTAAGGTTCTTCATTTTTATTTTTCTAAAATAAAAATAAAAAATCGCAATGCTTGTTTGCTGTAATAAAATAAGGACATTTCTCAAATAGTCTACCAAATGGGTATTGATTTGGATTTGAGTGATATCCCATGGTCATAGAAAGGTTTTTTAAATTACCTTACCTAGAAATCCTGCAGGCCTGCCTTATAGAGGACAAATATACCATCTCACCAGAGCAGGAGACTGTCCAAACAACCCTCCTGCTGTATCCCTGCTGTTAGGCTGTGGGGAATGGGTGAAGTTTCCACCAAGTCATTGGTTTTTCATTTCAACTTTTAATAGGTTGTTAGCAGTTTCCTGATAACCAAGCTCCTCCAGCTAAGCATTCATTCTCACAAAACTATAATCTATCTTTCTGAAAGAATGCTGATTTTTAAGAATGTGTGTGTGTGTGTGTGTGTGTGTGTGTACACATTTTACCAATGGTATTAAATCCTTCAGTATGAGAAACTTATGCAAACTACTGCAAATGCTTCTGCTGTCCCAGTTTATGTTCCATTTATGCAAAACTGGTGGTTTTTGAACTTCAGAGTACACCTATGCTTCAACATATAAGGCTTAATTTCTGATAATTTGATCCAAATAACTACAATATGGACACGAGTTCTTCAGATCAAGGTAACTAAGCATGCATTTCATTTCCCCCTTAAACAGGGATACCTTAGAATCATAGAATCGTAGAGTTGGAAGGGACCCAAGGATCATCTAGTCCAACCCCCTGCAATGCAGGAAACCCAGCTAAAGCATCCATGAAAAAACATCCAAGGAATGAGAGTCCACAACTTCCCAAGGGAAACCGCTCCATCTTGAATTACAGTTTTGGAGTGAAAGTCAATACCATTAAAATCACGGTCAGCTCTGTCATGTGACAAGAGGAGACAATTGCCTCAGGCAGTGGGTGAGAGGATGACAAATTTCCACTCCTCCTCTTCATCCTTCCCATGGCTCCTACATCTAATTTCCCTCACCTTCCCAGCGCTTTACTTGTTAACTGATATGCAGCAGAAGTGCCTTGACTTTACCTCTTTTCCTCTTCCTCACTCTGAGGAACAACTCAGAGTTCTGGATGCTTGTGCATTTCCAAGTGGAAAGTACAATGATGTGTGTTGTCTCTGCATCACCTGCAAATATACGCTTACAAAACAAGCTGGGAAAGAGCTGTTAGCGTTATCCAAGTGCTAAAAAAGCTCCTGAGTGCCATTCTGTATTGTGCTGAATAGAGTCTGCCCACCTGTTGTCATGACGGGTGGGTATATTCTTACCACTGGGTTTTCTAAGCAGAGAAATTGTTGGCCTACACAACAGGCAGAAAGTGTGGTTCACCACTGCAGTGCAGGGAGGAGTGTCTGACCCAACCATCATGGTTGCCTGGTGCAAGGGAACTGGGACAGGCATGTCCCTAGGCATAGGTAGCATTGTTAGCTGCAAAGGGTTGGCAGTGTGTGGTTAATGCTGTTACCCTCAGCTCCTTGAAAAAGAGGAGTAGAGGACTGTGAGGAGGAAGGATCATACAGTGACTTCTCTCAGGCCAGGAACCATCAATGGATAGTTGAACCCAACAAGGATGATGAGACCCATCCTTCTCATCACCATTAACAGCAATGAAGAGGCCTTATTTATTTTACAAATGTGCTGTATTAATAAAGTTGTGGCCGTATTCGCCCAAATATTGCCTCACATCTTCATTTGGGTTTAGGGGAAATGTGCCCATCTCTTATTCATTTTTAAAATAAGAAATAATTAGGGCAACCAGAAAATCAATTTGCTTTGTTTTTTTAAACATCATTGCAAATGTAGTGTCAGCTCTTCAAGTTGACCCACATTAAAGAAGAGCTTAAACTGGGGTGATGAAACAAATTAAATTGCACATCTTTAAGATGTGAAATGCTTGAAAAATAAATAAGGAAGCATTTTCTCACCAGCTAGCTTGCTTCTTTCCAATCCTCTTGGCAAAACACCACATCTGAAATGTCTGGTTCCTGTTCCGATTCCTAGATATATTTAGGTTTACTGTGACTTCTCTAGAGTATTATGACTAAATATTTTGGTCTGATTTTTTTAAAAAAGAAAAACACAATGAGCATTTTCTAGAGAGTAAATTTTCCTCATAAAAGTTTCTTCATAAGTGTTAGATGGAATATTTGGAAAGAGAGTCCAGCAGATAAATGCTATTTCAGCCCTGCCTTCTTCTTATTCCTTGTTATGAGGGAAAACACAAATTGTGTGCATTATCTCTTAGTGGAATTAGTTTCAAAAGCTGAAGGTCAAAGGATTAATTTAGCTTTTGCTGTCTTTTATATTATTTGACAGCAGAAGACACAATTATAGTGAAATACCTGACAGAACAAAGACCAATTAGGGAGCCGGGGGCGGGAGGAGAGACTTACCCAAATTACAACCACAGCAGAGTTTAGGTTTTTAAAAAGAAAGCAACAATTTGTCATAATAGACCACAGAAATCACAGCTGGAGCTGAATTTGCCAAGAAAATAATGTAGGAACAGAGAATAAACTTGAAATTAACCCAATCCTAGGGTTTTGGTTCAGTCGAAAAAAGGGACAGAGCAATCCTTTGGAGGTTGGGTGGAGAGTCCAGGCTGGGTAAAATGTCCTAAGTCCTGCTGGGCGCATTGGTCAGGGTGGGAGGTCAGTGACAGCTCCCCCCCCTTTCTTTTACTTGGTCATTGTAGTAATTGGCAACTGTAGAGTTAAATATTGTATCCAGTTATTATGGGTTGGAGCGAAGACTCTACCTTCTAGCTTGTTGTGGTTACTTTCCTTTTCCTATGTTGTTGTGTGTTGGCCTTGCTTCTTCTGCATGTAGCCCTCCTAACTGTGTCCTAGCATAGCAGCACAGTTGCCAGGCAGGAGTATGCAGTGTGAGGAAGTCCCTTAAGTACCCTTATTCCGTTAGAGCTCTTTGCAAACATGCAATTTTGCTCAGGGCCGAGACCTAAATAATCAAGCAGGAAAACTGGAAGGCTGAACCACTTAATTATTATGCCCTTTTGGAACTTATTTCCCCCACCCCATGTCAGTGTTTGGTGCCAAAAGCCACCGGCACAGCTTTTCTCATCTCTGCTTTGTCTCATTTGTTTAACCAGGCATGGTCGTGATTATCTGAGCTGCAAATTTAATTTTATTGTGAAGTATCCTGAGAGGAGTGACATGAATGATGCAGCACAGATACTGTATGATTGACCGAGGGTTATTCTGCATGCGCCTTCATTTGAAGGGAGAGACAAGGTTTGCTTATTGGCTATTCCTGCGTTGTTCCAGTCAAACTGAAATTGATGCCCAGTGTGACTAGACTTGTCACTTCGAAGAAAATATTTTTCTTCTTCTCTGTTTTAATTTGGTAACTTATGGATTCCTGGGCCTGCTGCCTGTTCTGTAGGATATAAATAAAATAGTGACTGCAGCCAGTGTTCTTTCAATGCTTTGGAGCGTTCAGGCAAACGAATTATAGATTTATCTTCACTGCCATAGATGCACATTTCTGCACTGTGTCCACTTATTCATGCTGAAGTGTGTCTGGGGGGTGTCTTAATTATTTGTGAAGCATAACACATTTGAGATCTTGTAATTCCTTTTACACAAAGCTATGTTTGCATCAGTGGCTATCATGCCAAAAAACACCCCTTTATCTGCATCTTTTAAACGAGGAAATAGGGCCTCATTAATACTATTATTAGCATAATGCAAACATCAGTACCACAGTGACATCTGCAATTATATCCAACTTGCAACCAAACCACAGATTACACTAATGCAAATGCAAAAACCAGGTCAGACTGAGGACAGAGGGCATCATGTACTGCGTTGTCACAGGAAATAATAAAAAAGTACAATACACTAATGAAGCAAGTTATGGTAGTACAACTGCGCCACTACAAAGGAGTTGCAAAATGCCCTGTATTATTCAAAAATTACCATAGAGAAAGTATGCTATCTCCAGGAAAGTAGTGAAACATGATTCTACCCATACTGACAGTTTATGGACTGGACATGGCAGGACAATATTACAATTATTATTTTTAAAAGTCTTAAGCTAGTGCTTTAAGGCAAGAAGTAAGAAATAAAGATATACAGCTGTGCCACTCTTGCAGCTTGGTGTGGTTGGGAAAGATTTGACCAAACTGTTAAGTGATAAAGTGGAATGTTTCGGTGGGTAAAATCGCTGCCAAAATTGGGAACAGGTTTTCGAGGGGTGTGTTGAATCCTTTCTGGAGCAGGAGTATGCCATTTACCATTTTAAGATTTTAGAAGTACTTGCACCAGGACTTTTGTCTATGCAACAGAATTTCCCTTCCCACTTCTCATGTGCATCCCCTCCCTCCCAATCCCTCTCCAAATATACTACATAGGGTTCAGAGAACCCCCCTAATGTGCTTAGGTTGGCCAAACAAGACTTCACCAGCATTGGGTACATTGCAATAACAATTTAGTGTCTGAAAGTTGACAGCTTGTGGGAAATTCAAGTTGAAGCTGGCCTAAATCAAAGCAGTCAAGAATTCTGGCAAGAATTCCAGTTCTGAAAGTCTTCAGGGTTTGTTCTTCAAAATGGGAATTGAAATTTTGCTTTGAAATTTCTCATTAAAAAAAATGGACTGGCATAATTGAAAAATCCTGTAAAGTTTGAATATTGCAAATATTAACTTCATGTCGAAAAGTATCCCATAAGTATTTCAAGCATATTTTGCCCAGTTATATGCTTTCCTTCCAAATCACTATCGCATCCAGTATCAGGGGGGAAACATACAATATACTGTTGTTAGCAAAGGTTATTTTTTCTGATTATATTATTAGACACAACGTATAAACACTAGAGTATGGAATTACTTACTAATGGGTATTTGTAGAACTGAAGTAATAAAGTGAAATCTGCCCTTAATTCAAACACTGTATTTTTCCAGTGTCTTTAAATTATCACATAAAACATGGACTCTTATTAAAATGAACAGTAGCAAAACCTCTCTCTTTGGATATGAAATTTTAATGTGGTCTTTTTGCAAGAGTTCTTTTTTTCCTCCTTGTTAAAATATTTCCACTTCTTAGTTGCAATGGATCACTGCTAAGCAGGCCTTTCATAATGAATCGAGAGTCATGTGTCGCCACAGCTTCAGAACCAAAATCTCATTCCAAGTATGTTTACTCAGGAGACCAATTGATTCATATAAGACATTTCCATGTAAGGGTATAAATGACTGTAACCTCTTCACATGAACCTGAGGCCAGGTGAATGCCATTATTTTCATAGTAGTTCTTATATTGTTCTAGGAATGTATGAACAACTCTAAGAGCACTCTTAACAAACTATAGTTCCCAGGATTCTTTGGGGGAAGCCATGATTGTTGAAAGTGGTATGATACTGCTTTAAATGTATAGTGCAGATATGACCTGTGTGCATAATTTGGCTCCATCCCATTTTTGCATTGACCTGGGGTTTAGTTATTTTTTTATTTTTTTGCAAAAATGTGCATTTAAATAACTTTTAAATAAGTATTTTTTAATTTCAAAATCAGCATTTTTAACTGTATTTTTCTCACAAAATACATATTATGAAGTGTATTTTGATCATATATAATCAGTCAAGAACTTCATAGAAACATCTTAGAAGTGCAGATTCAGTTCTGATCTGTACATTAGTCATAGAAGATCAGTTCATAGATTATGACCAGATGTCAGGAACCAGACTGAAGGGTATTGCTCTGAGGAAGAATGGTGGGAGCCCCCCCCCCCCTGTGTGCAAGGACCTGATCCTGAAGCTCCTCTTGACCTAGAGCAACGGTTTGCAGAAGGACACAGTTCAGAAACTGACAGTTGGGCTAGGCTGGGAGAAGAACAACCAAGGGGAGAGGAACGGGAAGAGAGAGAGCTGGTTGAATCTCCCTCACTAGAAAGTGTGCAGGCCACGAGCCCCTAGAGCCCGGCATCTGGATAGGGTAGCTTCTCGGAAGGCTCAGTGGTGGAGGGATCACGTGGTGAGGAGAACGGACGCTGAATGTTTGTCCTGTGTTCAAGAAACCTGTCTCTTGCTGCAAAAGACTGCTTTCGCTTTGTGCTGTTATCTACAGAGAGGGGGAAGGTAAGCCTTGTCTGGCTACCTGACACCAGATCAGGTAAATTCATATCAAAATTCATAAAGACCAACTTCCTAAAGCATCCTTATTGATCCCACACAGCACTCTGTAGTAATAGTCTCTACCCAGAATTGCTGAGGATTGGCTAAGTGACGTAGTGTTGGCTTTGGGCTTTTCTTTGAACAGCACGAACAAATTCATTGCACTTTCTTTTCTTCCCCAGCTGTTTGGAACTAAAATACAGCCTTCATGTTGTCTAGGAGACACACAAGCTTTCTCATTGTCAGCATCTTGTACATTTCCTCCATACACGAAAACATGTGAACGCTGCATTTTGGGTGTGATGTTGTGGGGCAACAGGAGGTTTGTGGAACCTGTGGATTTGGTTTCTTTTCAGCAAGATAATATTGAAAGCTGTTCAGCAATATTCTAATATTGAAAACTGTTCAGCAATGTCCTAATACTCATCAGGTAAAAGGCCCCTGAATCCATCTGTTGACCCATATATAAAGGCTTCCTGTCTTTGCAGCATGCACCACAAGTTCTCATTTGCTAGCCTATATCAAATCCAAACTCTTCTTCTTCTTCTTCTTCACCTGCCAAATGGGCATATCCATACACATTCAGAGAGAATCCTCTTTGTTCCTGTCTACTACAGCCTGACCTAAATATTTCTGCAGTACAAAAGATATTCTCCTCTTCATGATAAGCAGTCTACCATTTCTCTATACATTGTCATACTGGGATTATGGCTTCTGCTTGCCTCCTATTAATGCAAAGGGAACACATGGAGAGTTGCAACAAAGATGCATGAAACCGAATGCAGGCAGCAATGGGAATTCCAGATATTATACCACAGCAAAGTGTCCTGGTTTAGTTGGGGCCGCCCTACTATGCAGCACAATTGATAATCCACCCCTGCCTAGAATTCCTTATCACTCTCTTGATTTTTGTATCATTTCTTGCAGCTCAGCACAAAGCCATTATCCTTGGGAGAGAATAAAGCACAGCTAAGTGTTTAATGCAACAACTTATCTAAGTAAAGCAATGGTAATGCACACACTGCCTTTATGTGTCAGACAGCTTTAGTCTCATGGAAAATAATAAAAATACACAGGCACACACAAAAGAAGGAAAGGGAGAAGGGAGAGGAGGAGGAGGAAAGGACTTTTTGGGAAAGATCCCTTAGGAAGTAATTACGAGTATTTGATATGGAAAAGGAAAACAAGAGGACAGCCTCATCGCAGGACACAGTAAACCTGAGCTGACAGCCTGACAGAAGAGGCTTCTCCTCATGGAGTGCTGCCTCTAGCTTTGGTGGTTCATTGCCAACTTTGTCTTATTCCAGAAGTTACATTAAAAAAAAGACTGTGCAGTTTACAGAGCTTAGAAAAGTATGTAAATGGTTCGTTTCTTGGTAAGATAAGTGTAGGTGGTGAGTTCTTAATTTCCCCCATCCTCTACTAAAATGAGTGTTTTTAATTTAATTGTTGAGAGTTCCTGCTGTTTTTAAACAAACAAAACAAAACACCATCAAAATCGACGGTGGGTTTGGAATCAAATTCTGTAACCAGTTTTAATGAAAAGAAGTCATTTGCCTATGGCTAAAATATGTGACATTGGTTTAAAAGCCTGTAATACCCTCAAGAATGCCACCCATGATTTATATCAATCTACTACAAGTCTACTCCAATTACATCTCTTCTTTGACCTGATCAGAAAACGTTTCACAGTCATACAAGAGATGATAGAAGTTTGAAAAACGAGTTCCAATTAGAGCAGCGCTTCTTGGTATGGATGCCCAAGTCTATATTAAAAATGAAAAATAACAACTGACAGTGAAGGGCTGGATGGAACACAAACTTTGCATGGATCAGGTTTCAGGCCAAGTCCCCAGGATCTCTAGTTAAAGCGTTAGCTGGAGACAGATCAAACACACCCAATAGGTAGTACCAACAATGGCATGAAGTGCTAGAATTCAAGAGGCACCATTTTATTCTTGAAAACTCTCACAGAGGGAAGAGTTTCCCTGGTCACAGAACCCGAGAACAGTTCCCCTGCCATTTTTTCACATACTGCAGTCTTTCCCCCCTCATTCCATTCACTTATGGATTAAGG